CATTTACATGTAATCGTCATTTAACCAAGCTGAACTGTCTGTCAAATCATCATCAAGCTTCTCGAATCTGTGTTCAACTGAATATCAAACTCTGCTTCACCACTGGCAGAATTCTCACTACTTTCGCCTTCTTCACAGCTATACAGGTCCTCTTCAGATGACGATGATGGTCCTAAGTCATGGTAAAAGAGATCCTTCCTATATGCACATTTGAGAACCTGCAAAGCCTCCACAATGTCACCTTTAAGGCAGTTTCGATGCTTCGTGATAGTGATTCCCGCACTCGAGAATGTGCGCTCACTTGACACTGAGGTCACCATGATGCCAAGATAATCTCTGGTGAGTGAAGCCCATGCCAGAAAGCAATGGGCATTTAGCTAGAGAATTGTATAAGTTATTGATGTATGGAGAACAATAGAATAGAAACACTTACTCCCCGCCATTGAACGGTTGACATTTCTTCAGGCATATCCTCGTTGAGATCAATATATTTCTGAAAGCTGTGCTCCCATTGCTTCTCTGGATCGATGATGGCTCGAGTTGAGAATTGTCACAGTGATGCTGGACAAGAGATTAAAAGGCTATAAAAGAGCGGTCATGTGGAACGTGCCACCCTGATCCTTCTGATCCCTAAAAGTGGCTAAGGAGCCTAACACTCACTCGCTGTGTAGCAAGCATCTGGAATGATGATAGAAATATAATGGAGCTTGGAAAGCTCAGTAGTCGACTGGTGGTAGACGAGAAGAAACAATCTGAGGTTTCGTCCCCTACATGCTGGTCTTATATACACGTACAGCGGGCTATCTTACCTAAGCTACCTATCTACGGGTATAAGCTAATGGCCGTACATGTAACAATGAGATGTCCGGAAGTAGAACAATGAGTGGGAAGACCGATGGCTGCTGTGTGAGCATCGTGCCTATCTGGGATTCTCTTTGTTCTCTGGTGTGAACATCGTGCCTATTTGGGCTTCTGGCTAAACTAATAGGAAGCGGAAGACCGATGCCTAACAATAATCCTTGTTCCCTTTGTTCCCAAATGGGTGCCTCTATTGTATCCTGGAATAGACAGGTCCGACCGTATCATCTGCAGGTCTGGACCATAACATGTGATGTAGACTATCACCTGATCCCTACGCATCGTGTCTGTGGCTGAGTGGTGGGAGATATTGGTGAAGCACATGATCTGTGGCATGAGAAAAGTCACGTGCAGACTTTGTGGTGAAAATCTGTGACACTATCCCCCTCTCAAGGCTCATTGTCCCGTAGAGCCAAGTCCTTTATCCCCTCGTGCATGTCTGTTCTTGAGCAGTCCCTTGTTCTCAACTGGTATGCCTTCGACATACGCTTCAAATACTATCTGAGCGATTCGATCGTCAACGGCAACGTTGAAAGGATAGTCTGAATGGTTAATCATGATGACTTTAAGTTCTCCGATATAGTCAGGATCGACAACGCCAGCTCCGATATCAATGCTCCATTGCGCAGAAAGGCCACTTCATGAGACAATTCTAGTATATGTGCCAATCGGAGGTTCAATTGCAATTCCGGTTCCTACTACTGTTCACGAATGGGGGAGGATTGTATGAGTTTCAGCAGCATAGACATTCCATCCTGCCGCATTCTCGGATCTCCTGGTGGGAGCTTTGGCATTTTCCGTCATCCTGTGATAGACAAAGTAGTCGTCATCATCTTGATCTGTTAGATTTATCCTATGTGTGGACTTTGGGGCTAATTCATACGAGGATAATTCGAAGCATTTTCTGCCATATGTGACAACCCTGATTGGTGCTTTTGAAGCATCTGGGTGTTGTTGGTGGAATTCTTGAAGTAACTCGTTGACGTTGATAAAATTTGTTCGGGGCTCCCATGTGTCATCGGAATGGTCATAGCCTTTCCATTTGACGAGGTACTGAACCCTTCCCCTTACGACCTTTGAGTCTGAGATTTCTTTAACTTCAAATTCTGGTTCTCCTTCAATTTCGATGGCTGGAGGTTTTGGAGGTTCGCGGTTTGCGACCGTGTCTTGGTGATACATAATCAACTTGCTTGCATGGAAGACTGGGTGGACCTTCATTTGCTTAGATAGTTCTAGTCTGAATGTGACTGGTCCTAGCTTCTGAAGTACTTTTTAGGGTCTGAAGTTTTGTGTTCCTAGCTTTGCAGATTTGACTTTTACTCTGAGATCTTTCCCTTTGAGTAGTACTAGGTCTCCGACTTTGAATGGGACTTCTCCCTTTTTCTCATCGAAATACCATTTCATCCGTGAAGCTGAAACTTTCAGTGATGCCTTTGCCTGTTCTTGTGCCTCAGATCAGTGAGCGAATAGGTGTTCTAATAAAGGGTGATGTATTGATTCATGTACGTCGGGTGCCATTTTTGGATGCCAGCCATATTTAACGAAGAATGGGGAAAGTGCGGTGGACTCATGGGTCTGGTTGTTGTATGAGAATTCTGCTGTTGGCAGATAGTAGACCTAATCATTTTGTCTGTGGTTGCAGTACATTCGAAGGTACTGTTCCAACACCTGGTTAACCCTTTCTGTTTGACCGTCTGTTTGGGGATGATACGCGGTAGACATAGTAGACTTTATACTGAGCTTCTGACAAAACTCCTGGAATAGTTTACTCGCAAATTGAGTACCTCTGTCTGAGATAATTTGTCGAGGTAATTCGTGGAGTTTGAAGACTTCATTGTAGAATACATTAGCGACTTGGGACGAGGTAACTGTATCGTCTGTTGCATAAAAGTGCGCTCGTTTCATGAGTCTATCTACGATGACAAGTATTGCCATCTTCTTTTCTCCCCTAAAGTCCATGGCTGGAGGAAGTTGAGTGATGAGATTGACTGTGATGATCTTCCATGGTCCTTCTGGTACATTATTGGGCTGTAGTAGTCCATATAGTTTTTCCCTTGAGTACTTATTGCGTTGACAACTATCGCAACCTTGTACGTATTGTTTAACCATTATGGACATTCCTGGCCACCAATAGTTCTGAGTAATGAGCTCCAACATCTTGAACCTGCCTGGATGTCCAGCTGGTAACATGTCATGATGGAGCTTTATTAGGTCAAGGCGTAGCTGTTGATCCTTGGGGACATAAACCTTTCCGCGATGGAGCAGCAGTCTGTGCTCAAAGTTCCATTCTGCAAGGTTTTTCCTGAATTCACGCTGTCCTGTAGTCAAAAGCGCATGATAATTCTTGGTCATCATGTCATCCATGAGTGCCTTCTTGATCCTTTTTAGTAGTTGAGCATCATCAACTTTAGATGCGTGAGCAGGTCGAATCACATTGATAGTGAAAAATTCAGGTTTTAACAGCATTTGATTCGAATTGTCGCTGTCTACCCCCTTCTCATGGTCTGGCCTCCTGAACAGAGGATCGGCACGTAGCATAGTCTTTCCAGGTCAGTGACTGAGTACAAAATTAAATCATGTGAGGAATAATGCCCAGCACGCTTGGCGTCGGGATAACTTCTGTGTCTGGCAGAAGTATGTAAGGTTGAGATGATCTGACCAAATCTCAATGGGTTCTGAATATCCTTCTAGATAGTGCCGGTATTCTTCTAGTGCCCAAATGATTGCAAGCATCTCCTTGTCGTAAATCTCATAGTTTCTCTCATGTTCGTTGAGTGATTTGGAGTAGTATGCAACTGGATGCCATAGCTTGTCCTCTCCCAATTGTTCTAGTACTGCCCCTGTTGCGTAGTCTGAAGAGTCGGTCTCTAGACAGTATGGTGCGGTATCATTGGGGAGTTGTAAGATCGGGGCTGATGTAAATGCCATTTGAGTGCACTGAAGGCTTGGTCTTGCTCTTCCTTCCATTGCCAGGGCATGTCCTTATAGGTGAGAAGCATTAAAGGTTGTGCGAGTTTTGCAAAGTCATTTATAAATCGCCTGTAGAAATTCGTGAATCCTAAAAAGGCCTGTACTTGTTTGACCTTTGTAGGTGCTGGCCAGCCAAGGACACCTTCGATTTTAGCAGGGTCCATCTGTACCGAGTTCTTGCTAATAATCATGCCAAGATACTCGATTGAGGGCTGTTCAAAGAAGCATTTCTCCAGTTTGGCATACAAGTCATTGTCCCGGAGGAGCTGTAGAACTGCTTTTACTAATCGTCGGTGTTCTTTGAGATCATCTGTGAAGATGAGGATGTCGTCTAGGTAGACTACCACTTTCCCTGTACGAATCAAGTCTTCGAGGACTGTGTTCATCATTGTTTGGAAAGTGCTAGGAGCGTTGCAGAAACTGAAGTACATTACTGTGGATTTGAAGAGGCCGCGATGCATAATGAAGGCAGCTTTTTCTTCATCTCCCTCCCTAATCCTTATGTTGTTGAACCCCCATCTCAGATCAAGCTTTGTAAAGATACTTGCTTGCGAGAGTCTATCAATGAGGTCCGAAATGCATGGGATTGGGAACTTGTTCTTCTTGGTTACCGTGTTGAGGTTCCTGTAGTCTTGTACTAGCCTCAGTGACCCATCTTTCTTTTTGATGAAGAAGACAGGTGCTGCCGTTGGACTTCTTGACCTCTTAATGTATCCCTTGGCCAACTCTTGGTCTATCCACGTGTCGAGTGAATTCCTTTCCTGTAGGTTCATAGGATATAACTTTGCCGGGCGTGGTAATGATGCCTCTGGAACAAGTTCGATTGGATGATCGTAGGGCTTTCTTGTGGGCATTCGTTCCAACTGCTTCTTGGAGAACACATCACCATACTCGTGGAAGTGTTTGGGAACATAGGCTGACCAGTAGTCTTTGTCCTGTTCTCCTTTTTGCGGTGCTCTATCCTGATTCCTCTTAGTGTCAAGGCCCATGATAAGTGATGCTACGGCCTGCGCATCAGGGTCTTCTGATAATGACACCCGTCTAATGAAGCTGTCCATGTCGTTCCAAGTGTCACCTAACTCTTGAGAACTGACGAACTCCATCAGGTCTTTGATGTGGGGGATGTTTGTGTCTTCCAGGTCCTCCTCCTGGACTGCTACCTGTGAGGGTGCACATCTTTGTGGGCATTGGGTGAACTCAATGCTAAGTTTTTCCCAATCCACTTCGGAATTGTGCTCCTTGAGGAAACTCATGCCTAGTATAATATCTTTATGTCCTATATTGGTGACAAGAAGGCTCTGTCTGCTCGTATGGTTTCCGATAGTTATACTTAGAAGAACCCTTTTCTTAATAGTTCCACCTTTGTTGTGAGATGCGTCTGTGTTATAAACCCTGATCTCTTTCTCGAGAGAGATCGTAGCAAGATTCAATCGATCAACCAGTTGTGGATTGATGTAGCAAGAATATGCTCCTGAATCGAGAAGCGCCTCAGTCTGGACTTCCCTTACTCTCTGTTTGAGGTGAACAGATAGATCGATCACATGTTTTGACGAACCAGTTGATGCAATATATAAAAAATCTGAAACTGGTACATGCGAGAGTGAGTAGGTACTGTTAGAATGTCTATGGGAACTCTGGCCAGACCTCAGAGAACCCGCCGAAGAAAATCCTCATCACTTTCTACCTCCGTGATCCTTGCTGCTTCGACAGCTGGTTCCGGTTCCACCTCCTTGTTGTCCCCTTTCGCGTCGTAGCTGGCAAGGAAGGCACGGACTGCTTCTTCCCTTGCTTTGCCATCATCGGAACTGCTTGATGCTGCTGGCGCCATTATTGCCCTTGTAGCTTGCCTCTGTCGGGGCAACTCTAGCTTGCCTCTGTACTTGGGGTCGGGGCACTTCTCTCTGAGTATGAAGGGATGCTTTCCACAATGTACACAGAGCTTCCTTTCCAGCCAGCCTTCCTGCTCCTTGGTGAGTTGAGTGACATGGTCTACGTCCATCATGTTGGGATCCTTTTGGGCTCTTGGTGCCTGTGATGGTGTCGTTGCCATTTCACGCTGTCCTGCTTTATCGGCTTTGAACTTGGATTCGAGTTGTAGGCAGAGATCGAGATACTCAGCCCATGTGGTCAGATCTGCAATCCCTAGGCTGTCTTGAGTAACCATTGCCTGCCGTACGTCTTTGCTGCGATGTTCAGCGATGTAACCGATGAGCATGGTGTGCCCTAAGTTGGTCTTAGTGGCCCATTGGCGAAACTGTTCTGCGAAGGAGACCATTGTAGGATAGATCTTCACGCAGATCTCCTTCAAATGTTGTTGCGCGTCCTTGTCCAGGTCGAGCATTCTGTAGTTTACCTTGAGCATGTCGACGAAGTCTTCCCAAGTATCAAGTGCCTGCCGTGCTGCTGCCTTTATTGCGTATTCAGACATATATGTGAAAGCACCTCCTTCTAGGTGCAGCAGGGCCGTGGTTATCTTGTGCTCATCGTCGTTGATCTCGTTCCATCACATCCATATACTGAGTTGTTGGAGCCAGTCTTCCAGACTTCCTTTGCCCAAATAGTGTGGAGGTTCAGCGATTTTGATGTGAGGGCATTGGGATTGGACCATGCCGGATGTATGACCTTGCATCATTGTGACGCCACTTGCTTTGAGTGAAGCTAACTCGTGATGCAGCTTGGTATTCTCGCTGCCTAGTTTCATCATTTTCTTTCCCATGTCTAACATAGCTTCCTGAGTACCGGTAATCTCATCATTGAGGATGACCATGTGTGCGTCCTGGGCCCTGACTCTGTCCAAGAGTTTCTCATTCTCAGACTTGAGTACTGCCTCCTTGAGTCGTCGCTCTGTTTGAGCTGATGCAATTGAGGCCTCAAGAATCCTTTTGTGCTCGTACATCTTGTTGTCAAGCACATTGTACATTTTCTTGAGTTCATTGTCGACCAGGGACTTCATGACGATGATTACACATTCACGAATGTTGTCGGGTACTTCGCCGGGTGTGCATTGTCTGATGGCATCTTCGAGGTGCTCATACTGTTGTCCATCGTAGGACCATGCAGGAGGTATGTAGGCGGGGAGGAGTAATGGGGTCGGGGATGATGGTCCTCTGACTTGTGATGTGGAGTCTTGTGGTGCTAACTCCGGGGATGGTTGTCTTGAGGCACGAGGTGTGCTTCCATCATGTGCCTCGATATTTGGGTGCATTATGTCCTGCATTCACTGTGCAAACGTGGACATTTGGGCGTGACCAGATTCTGACATTGTGTAGATAGAAATGTGTCTAGTTAAAAATAAAGCCTAGGTACTGCTTGTCCTTGACTTTCCCAATCTTCCTGACGATCTCGTCTAACCTCTCCTGCTTCTCTATCTCCTTGAAGTTGATCCTGCCTATCTCCAGGCAGCACGTGTTGATGACTTGTTTCTTGATGAAGGTATACTCGTGAGTTCCCGTGTACAGGTCTGCGCAGACCTTGTCTAACTCTGATGCGAGGAGTTGTACCTTCTTCATACTATCCTGATTGACTCTTTCTCAGAATCCTCCTAGTATCAGCTGCAATCTGAAGCAGGTTGCTGATATCTGCTTCTTAAGAGTCTCGATATGGAGTGTGGGTCTGACCCTGGATGGAAGTGGGTGAATGGGTCGTGCATGTGTGTTGATCTTAACGAAGTTGGGAAGGGGTTGCACTGGTGGTGAGGTGACAATGATAGCACCTGGACCTCACTGACTTCGGACCTTGCTAGGTTGCCATAGCCGGTAGCCTCCGCAACCTAACAAGGTCCGGAGGTCAATTCCTCGCTATCTGCCAATAACACCGGCAATAGCACAGGAATTTATCGTAAATGGCAATGCTGATCAATGTGGCTGATAACAGTTTTCAGCTGCAATCAGATGATCAACCATGCCTCATGGCTACCATCGGCCTGCACTTGGGCCATCGGATCTCCCCACCCACTGTCCCGGACATTGAGGCATCGTGCATCATCATCGCCGCTGACAGCGACGACGAGCTCCCCTTATTTTTCTCGTTTCTTTCACTTTTTCTTTTATTTTTTAATACTTTTGATGTACATTACTCCCTCAGTGCAATAGTATAGAAATCGGAGTGTCATTTTGTATTCTAACTTGTCGTGTCAGGCACATCACGTGAGACACATGACACGATGCGTCGCGACGAGTTGTTTAACGCAGCACCTTAGCTTTTCACTTTGCCACTGATAATCTCACTTTGACGTCATCTGCTTCATCTGCTCAGCTCTGTGGTGGCCATGGGGCACATCAAGCCATGCCACAAGCCACACATGACTGTAGCCACCTCCTCAAAGCACTCACGGACTCTGGGTGCGACTGGTATCATGGAGAAGAATAAGAAGGCGGTGCAAAGGCAGGCTCTAAGGACATCAGATACATTTTTTCTTTACTACGGTGGATGATATATTAATATTTGATGCATCATTGTTGTAGGACTTAGTCAACAATCATGCAAGATTATCGCAGAACTTAGAGGTGAGAATTTGCCCCCTGACCACAGCGGCGCAGACATCGAGGATGTTCTCATGAACATTCAGCAAGATGGAGGAGGAGAGGAGGCAGACTGGGAGGATGAGCCTACGGATGAGTCGTTCATCCATGCGCTCAGAGATATTATGGGCTCGAGGTGCGTTGCAACATTTGTACGAGCATTGCTCAATACTTACATCCTTCCAGGTGATGAGAACGATGGTACAAGGATGCTCAGATGTGGTGTCAATGGGTAGACCGCATGGACAAAAACTGGCAGCCTCTACTTCCCTGTTTTGTGGACTCCTATCTCCAATGGCGATATTCGACAGTGGCCATGCCTAGCGAGAATCCCTCCTCTCACGATTTTACCATCGACACACTTGACATATATACCCTGGCAACGTCAGCAACTATATGCCACAGAGCTGAAGACGTCTCCGCTTCTGAGGCCCTCACGCATAGCAGATACCTCGGGACATCTCCAGTGAATCCATCTCTTGCTATCTCATTCTCCACCCTCGAACTCTTCCACTGTATCAGGCTTTTTAAGCCATCCTTTAGTGTGGAGGCCTTCGTGAAGCTCGTATCTTACTACTACAAGATCCCTTTCCGATGTCACTACCGCACTGCCATCGCAAATGCATTCGACATCTATCTCAGCATTCTACGCGAGGTTCGCAAGTGCATCGACGCTACCTTGGGTCGAGACACACCTAACTGGCATGTTCTGAATGCATGCCCTGCCTGCACATACAAACTTGATGAGGAGCCACCTCTCAAGTGGCAGCGCATCTTCGCAATGGACGGCAACAACTCACTCAAGCGAATCGCAGAGGTCAGCAATCGTGCATGCGGTGACATGCGCAGCTTTGCAACGAGCGACTACTTTTTGTCCTGGGACTTCGTCAATCGCTATGCCAACGAGGTGAAGTCAAGGCCTCGCTCGAAGAAGGTTGACACTTGCAGTGGACAGCCCGTGCAGGACGGTGGTGAGAGTGGAAGCGACGATGATGGTGATGTGCCCAGCGTGGAGATCTCAACAATGGCGGAGGAGGATCCAACGGACAGCGAGGATGGCAATGTCATGACGGCTCCATGTGCGACCAACTGGAAGGCAGCAGCTTCTGAAGATCACAAGCATATGTGGGCCATATTTGATGAGGCAGGCATTTTTGTAGCTGCGTGCAGGCACTGCCTCATGCTCTGGGTCACGGACATGGTCCAGAGTGGTGAACTGTGAGTCTACAATGCATTGCAACCTGTTTCATGCTGATGATTGTCACAATCAGTGCAAAATATCCCCTGGCAATCTTGGTCAAGGCTTTAGAAGTCTTTGGAATCAGGCTTCTCATGCCCTACGATATCGGGTGTGTATTCCAGGGAACTACAGCACGAAGTTCGCTGGGGCCAGATTGGCTGCAAAGTGGCTTTCGGTGCTGCGTGAATGCGTTCCATGGATACACGCACAACTATACTTGCCAGATGCAGAACCACCTGAACGTTATCAAGGGGATGGGCCTCGAGGATGGCGAGACCCTCGAACGGCTCTTTAGCACATCTAATAGCCTCGCATCGGTCACCCAGTATGCATCACCCTACCGTCGGCATGTCCTCGTCGACCTTTTCTTCCAGCAATGGGATGACAAGAAATATGGTAATCTTAGTCTAATGTTGTACAACAACTGTGTACAGCATTGAAGATCATCAACGAGGATTCTATCACACTGGCCGATACCATGCAAGCTCTCGGGGTCAGCCGTGAAGATCTTGACAAATGGTCTTTGGAAGAGTGGCACTATTTCAAAACTCTGGGTCAAGAACACCCGTGGGATGTGCACGCCGTTGCATACATCGAGAAACTTCAAGAATGGCATGTCATGCGTGCGCAAGTCAAAAATGCGCATGCACAATTTGTCAGTTCCATCCCATCCGACTATACATTTATCCTACCCTCCACCAGCACTGTCGACTACTACGCTGAGGCGTCATGCACACAGAAGCTCGAGACGAAGCGGCATTACAGTGAGGAGCATGAGTGCATGCTCCTGCATGATGTTGCCACCATGGAAGTGAAGATGGGCATTACGAGATGCTGGCAACCGACTGACCGTGAGTACATGGAAACTGTGAAGTATATTGCTGAGCGATGATATCACCGTGCACTCGAACACCTTCAACGCCTTGTCATACAGCATCTCTTTGAGCTTCACAAGCTCAATCTTGCACAGACTGGTAAGTATCATCACATTTTGTACTCGTCGTCGGCTAATTATATTCACAGCATATCGTGTGCACACTCACATTGCAAAGTCTCTGCAAACTCGGTGCAAGGTGATCTGCAATGCCATGAAGACGTACAATGCTGCGGCCCTCACACTCGATCTACCACGTCCTACCCTGGACTGGTCAAAAGTCTCGCACTACAGCTTCCTCGACGAGTTTGCGCTGCTTCAAGACACTCAAAATGATATTTGTCAAAAGCCCTGGGCCACTCCAATTGCACGTGAATGTATGAAGAAGGCATGTCACCTCGATCGTGCACATGAAGAGGTCATGCGTGTTGGTATAGAAGCTCGGTGGCTGCAAACATCAATTGTTGATGAGGAATCCTTTTCTCTCGTGCACTAACTTCACTGGATGAACAGATGTCACCATTATATGAAGCCATTCAAGAGTTTTGCAAGCGCCATCACCACGTCAATGCACGTCACCTCGTCCATCTTCAACAGCTCTCAGAGCTTGAGGGGTTTGTGACCGATCTGTCACTGGGACAATGCAAAGGTTCGACAGCATCATCAACAGATTTTGGTGCACGTATCACTCTGACAATGCTCACTTGCATGAACCTGGTGGGCATCGAGGATGACGAGCTACTTGCAGCACAGGATGATGAGGTCAATGGGGATCTTGGGGGACTTGTAGACTATCTCTCAGAGTTATCTGTGAAGGAGTAGCTTCATGTACAATCAATCATGCTGTCTAGATGTTGTCAGAATCAAAATGGTTGCTGAATGCTCTAGAAAGCTGCAAAATGATGAAATATTAAATGAAATATATTAGTGACTGAACTGAGAACATCACAAGCTACAGAATTTACGAGAGAAATGAGCTGGAATCAGTGTCAGCATGCATATGCATGAATGAGTCGTTCAGCCACAGCTCATGGCGTTGAGTGATCGAGCAATGACAGAACTCGTTGCGCCACTCACTGTTGCGCAAAGCATATCAGTGTCCCCTCGCTCTTTCTCCCCAGCTGCATCACCTCCCCTGCTCTCTTGTCATGCATAGAGGTTCTCAGTACATCACTGTTCTTGGAGGTCCTCGTCCTGGTATCTATGATGCGTGGTGAGTCTAAATTAACATTCAGATAGTGATGCTGTGATCTCACCACATGAGCGTTAGTCCACCCATTGGCTATGGTGGATACACCTCCCCACTTCCAGTCATCATCCACTACACAGATCACACCGTTGCGACTTCTGTCTACACGCTGCAGCCATTTTTTCATCACTTTGCAGGTGACGCATGTGAGCTGAACGACCTTATCATCAAGGAGATGGTCCACAGTCTGCTTCTCTGGGAGGAAGCAAGAAAGGTGATTCCGGATACACGAGAGTTTGAGAATGTATATGTCGTTGTCCACGGCAGAAAGACTGGTATCTTTTTTTCTTAGTAAGTTTGTCGTTGAACGATCAGCACTCAGCTGTCAAATCTGACAGCGAGGTCAGGAAGCAGTGTAATGCACAGGTTCATGGGTTCTCAGATGCAAGGTTTATGGCCTACAAGAACTTACCAGAGGCCATTGCCCACTTCTTGCATAAGGAGCCTGCAACATATGAGTCTCTGAACGATCTGACATCATGGCTAGGGATGTTCGAGAACTATCTCATGGATATTCTGAACCAGAGCATTCACGCTGATGAAAATGGTGATGACGATGAGGATGGTGAGTTGCTTTTCACCGTTGCTTCTTTCATTGAACCTACTTCTCTTCTATGTAGCGGTAAACGGCACAACGGGACGGTCGGAGCACGTTATAGAAGGACTCAATGGTACGGCGGTTCTCTTCTCACTAACATCACTGATGCACTCTTCAACCTCCTTTCAGATCTCATGCAAACTGTTCACATTGACAACACGCTGCTGTTAGCGTCTGAACTATCTGGAAAGGGCCCTTGCATGACCAAGTCATGTTCCGGCAAGACACATGTGCACGAGGTATCATCCAAGATAGTCAGCACATACTCAGAGATGCCTTTGCATGCAGCACGCATCCCTTCAAACGTTCGATCTCACACTGTCAAGATGGATGCCGGACCTTCGCAAGTGCAAGAGTCTCCTGCTCCTCTGATCCATATCATCAATGCAAAGCCCACGACTGCTCTGTACACTGTTGAGCAGTGTTCCATGCCTCTCCCACTGACTCCATACATTCAGTCTCCATCTCCATCTCCTTTCGATAGTCGGGATCACAATCAACAGCATTCATGTTGCACTGGCGTCATCAACCTCAGTTCCAATGATGACATCAATGAGAAGTTTCTTGTACCATCTCTCAGCACGTATGCTGATTATTACATGTCATCCCATAGTTATACTTACCGTGCGCGGGTGGAGGTGGTTGCGGCATTTGCCAATAGCCGCAACAGAGAGGAATTTGTTGCTCACCTCCATGGTGTCGATGTCCCAGCAAAGCACTTAGAATTTATCTACTTTCTGTGCAAGAACCGCATTTAAATCCTACCTACTGCTCTCTCAATGAATTGAATCATGTTCCATATTTGAGTCACATGTGAATTTTTGTTGATTGTCAGAGACACATCCGTCACGTGACGTGTCTCGTGTTACACACCATCAAACTTCTTTGACAGCTGATCCTTGATGTGTGGGCTTCCCTCCGATATGTCTCCAGCACAAGTGGCAAATCTCCTGCACCGTCTCCCGAGCAAGAAGCGGAAGAGTCCGGCAACTCTACAGGCTCGTCGGCCTTGGAGGACCAGAACTAAATGCAAGCTGATCCTGAAGACAGCAGCTGAAAGAGCGCACTTGCAAAATGCCAGGCTCGAGCGAAAGGAGGCACTAAATCAAGCGCTGTCTGAAGCTCGTGAGATGATTCTCGAGCAGGCACGGGTGATGCGAAAGTGCTTCGGTTCTCACAAGATCGACTACTACTTTCGTCTCATCATGCAACGGCCACACAAGTCTGTCTACAAGAGACAGGTCAATCCGTGGAATGCCTGGCAACGTGGTGAAGTGAAGCGCCACAATGACAGTATGTGTATCTGACATCAACTTACTATATGAGATTCTCATTTGCCTTGATTATCAGCACTGCCACCTGGTGAGCCCCAGAGGAAGACCGACTACTGGGCCCCGATATTGAAGGAGGAGTGGGCATTGTTGGCAAAGGAGGAGTGCGCTATGGCTGCCGCACCATACATCGAGGAGCTGCAGGCAGAGTGCGAGATGAAAAAATGCTCGGTCCACGACATGGAGCAGGCAGCATTCAATGATGCCCACGGGTCGCTCGCAAGCATCCAGCATGAGGTGCATTATTTATCACTACATGTTTCCATATTTGCACCGCTAACTTTCGAATTGTGGCAGCTCATGGCATTGAGTGAGCGCACGGGGATGCAAATGATCCTCTTCACTGTGTGCTCTACTCCTGAGTCTTACGGAAGCCTGCACGTATTCTACACCGATGACCGCCTTTCAGATTTCATCGAGTTCACAACAAAGAACTGGGTGGCTGACTTTTCTGCTCGGATGGATGGATATGTGCTTTCTGGGGTAGACGGTACGTATATTTTTCCGCTGTATGTCCGATATCTTATGAAGTCAATAGGTGCTGTTACAAACTACAACCAGGAGACCACTAGGATGAAGAGCCGGTTGGCAGCTCTTATCAAGCAGAAACTGAGTAAGGCGAGATTTCTTCATTCTGCATTCATACTGACATCACTCATAGAAGAAGGGTCTCCACGGCCCGTCGGACGGCTTACTTACATCAATTTTGAGACGAACATCACCATTCCATACTGAATGCTTATCAAGGGGTGGCCTCTCACCAGATTCTGTTGCCCGAGTGACATATCCACCCGCATGGAGGTTCAGCTCTGTCTCATGGCTTGGGAGACAGGAACAGCTTACTGGTACTACATAGAGAAGAATGAGGAGTACAATGCGTGGTTGAAGGAGTACCATGAGAACCTGTCGGTCTGCCAGGTTGGCAGTGTGAGCAGCGGTGCGAACGACGATGACAACAGGCAACGGACTGCAGCTGCTGTTGATGGTGGTGGTGCAATAGCCACCTTCTCTCAAGCTGACGCAGTGCACGGAATGGCGCTGAATGCATCGATGACAATAGCAACCAGCGGGGGGAATGACACATCGATGACGATGATGGCAAGCACCGACGTTCCACCCACTTCTGCATCGATCGACATCGTATTCATCAATGCAGGTCCGCACATCGATCTGAGCTCAGGGCCTCATGCAGATGCTGCTACATTCACAAGTGTGCCAATCTCCAAGCACCGCCACCCTCTAGACAAGTCATCCATCAACATCATGGCTGCCACTGATGGGACTGCCATCCCAGTGCTGAAGAGAGCTCAGAAAGTTCGGTCCGACAAAGGGGTAAAGAGGGGTTCTCGCAAGGCTTACGCGCAGTCTGCTCAGATCGAAAATGTCATGCCCGCTGCTGTCAATGCTGAACCATGAGGTATGAATGCCATGTGCGTGTAGATGTGATATTGCTCTCTACCCCACTGCATCTCCTGCCTTCATGGGCCTGCCTGGTGGTCTGTGTTATAGATAGCATGGATTGTAGCTGTATTGCTGATTTGGTGACGAAAAACTCATTTTATTATGCTATTTGACCGTGATTGCAGTACATAGTAAGGGCAATACAATGATGATATAAGGTAATTGATGCATAAAGAAGAAATGATAGAAAGCGGACCAGAAATGAGGAATATAGGGGGGAGCTCGTCGTCGCTGTCGGCGGCGATGACGACGCACGGCGCCCCAATGTCTGGGACAGTGGGCAGAGAGATCCGGTGGCCCAGGTGTGAGCCGACGGTAGCCACGAGGTGTGGTTGATCATCTGATCACGGCTGAAAACCGTTATCAGCCGTGTTGATTAGCGTTGCCATTTACGGTAAATTCCTGCGCTATTGCCGGTGGTATTGGCAGATAGCGAGGAATTGACCTCCGGACCTTGTTAGGTTGTGAAGGCTACCGGCTATGGCAACCTAGCAAGGTCCGGAGTTCGTGAGGTCCAGGTGAATGATAGGGGGAACAGCGTTAGAGGTGATGATCTCTGGGGATGGTCTTGGCTTTCGACCACCTGTAGTGAGACGTCCTTTCCTGGGCTTGTAGCATTTGAGTGGGGGGGTGTGACTGTGAGGCCGGTGAATGATGCCTTGAACTCTGATATGCGTAGTGTCAACTACCCTGGCCGCTGCACGCTGCCTGTCTGTAGAGGATGTGCCTAAGGATGCTAGAATGGGAAGTCTTTCTCGCTCCTTGTTGGTTTTGAGGCATTTGTAGCTGGCATAAGGATCTTCGTGGCCTTGCGCTTTGCTGCCTTGGGCTGCTCAGTGTCTTGCTGAGGCTCACGTCTGGTAGAAGTTGAGTTGAAATATGTGGAGAAAAAGCCACGCTCTACAGCTGAAACTGCTTGTGCTGAAAATACGCGGCTGCTTGTGTTAAACACTAAGCAGGGGCACAGAAAATGTCAGATTGTTTTTAATGTCACAGTGATGCTGGAAAAGAGATCAAAAGACTATAAAAGAGCGGTCACGTGGAACGTGCCACCCTGATTCCCCTGATCTCTAAAAGTGGCTAAAGAGCCTAACACTCACTCGCTGTGTAGCAAGCATCTGGAATGATGATAGAAATATAATGGAGCTTGGAAAGCTCAGTAGTCGACTGGTGATAGACGAGGAGAAACAATCTGAGGTTTCATCCCCTACATGCTGATCTTATATACACATACAGCGGGCTATCTTACCTAAGCTACCTATCTACGGGTATAAGCTAATGGCCGTACATGTAACAATGAGATGTCCAGAAGTAGAACAATGAGTGGAAAGACCGATGGCTGCTGTGTGAGCATCGTGCCTATCTGGGATTCCCTTTATTCTCTGGTGTGAACATCGTGCCTATCTGGGCTTCTGGCTAAACTAATAGGAAGCGGAAGGCCGATGCCTAACAATAATTCTTGTTCCCTTTGTTCCCAAATGGGTGCCTCTATTGTATCCTGGAATAGACAGGTCCGACGATATCATCCGCAGGTCTGGACCATAACATGTGATGTAGACTATCACCTGATCCCTACGCGTCGCATCTGTGGCTGAGTGGTGTGAGATATTGGTGAAGCACATGATCTGTGGCATGAGAAAAGTCACGTGTGGACTTTGTGGCAAAAATCTGTGACAAGAATACAGACTGTTGTCCCTCATCGTTGTCGTCGCTTGATAAATCGACAAGTAAAGAAGGATAGCGGCGTAGCACTTTCTTCTTTGAAATGGCTGCTACCGTGCTTTGCGTGCCACTGTTAAGTTCAGAGTATCGGTCCTTGTACTGAACAAGCATGAATCCATTAGTAGATCAGCATGAAGCTGCATGATTGGCGAGTGTACTTACAATTCTCTTTATCAGGTCCATAGCGTCTTTTTGCAGAGCCGCTGACCAGTTCTTCTTAAAGAATCTGAAGCACACCATGGGATCGAGCACTGATAATTATGTTTAAAAATCAGATGAAGCATTTGTACCAATGATATACATACCAATGGAAAAGACGTAGGCATCATTATCACCTGTCTTATCATAATAGGCTTCAATCTTGGCCAGTCCAGCTTGCAGCCCATTTCCAAAGTGCACATAGACAGGATCCTGCAGTTGTGCAGTCCATCATGCATGTAAGTCTTCGAGGGCAGGTAGCATGAGGTGCAGTGCTGGATTACACTCTGAAGAGAACCGCTGTTGACAGAAGTCTGCAATCTGACCATTGATATGAAACACTGTTGGACAGTTAATGAATGGGATAAATGTACCCGAAGAATGTGCTGAAAGGCCTTAATGTGTTTCCACTCATCTTCTCTTAGCAGGAGGCTATACAATCTAGTAGATGTCTTCATATCCTTTGCCACTTTTGAGATCTCCGTTACAAACTTGTTGACATGCTAAGAATATCACTTAGTGATACAGCACATGACAATGCTGCAGAGCACTCACTGCATGAAGGCTATATGCTCGATTGAGCATCAAATATGTCGATGACCAGCGAACCTTCATGTCAACTACAAGGGTCTTGACATTCTTGAATTCGATGCTGGCAGATGCTTGAATATCATGAAATCGCTCTTTGCACTGGCTTGATGAGCGCTCCTGCATGTGTTCGTCAATGTGAGTGCTTCTTCACCTACTTTATACTTACCTTAACAGATATTGCACGAATCAGGCCTACTTCATCATGAACGACAGCTGAGGTATCTGATAAATGCACATCTGGATGTTCAGGGTCGTAATGTGCAGATTTGCTTTGAGCTCCAATAACAGCTTGTGTCGCAAGGTTGATGATGTGTGCGAGGCAGCTATCAAATGTCTGTAAGAATATATTTACTTATATAACTCACATGCGAACACGTACCTGATGCATCGACTGTCAGCGTTGAAGTCAACTCCATGATTATTGCAGACCATGGAAGCGAATGCTGTCATTATGGTCAAGTTTGAGCTCACGTTGTCGCAAGTAACCACAAAAAACTGTATATTTATTGTTAATATTGTTGCACTGATATCAAGTTCTTGATAACGTACCTTTTTCGCAATGCCAATGCGGCTGGTGACCTTGTAAAGTGCTTGTCCCAAGTGGTTGCCATGATGTGAACAATTCATGTGCATGAAGCCAATCAGAGCTCCTTTAAGCGACCAGTCATTTGGTAAATTCTCTTGTATCCAATGTGCCATCACTGCAAAGTAACCATTGGTATTGCTGGCTTGCCAAGTGTCACACGTCAGCAACACTTTTCCTCTCACAGTTGGGCCCTATATTGCATGATCAGAGTGGAGCTATCAGCTTAATGACAACTCAAATAGTATTATCTGTAAGCATTTGTTCAGGTCACATAGAAACTGGTGAAACAGATCGATAATGTCTCACCGTGTTGATGCTCGCTTTGGAATTTTCACTGCTTCCTTGGTGTGTGAAGCGATATTGATCAGATCCTCGAATGCTTGATGTTGAAATGCACTGATAGGCTGATAAATGGCTTTATAAGATCACAAATAATCATTTACAGAGAGAGATTATGTACCTGATCGGTCTCTACTAGCCACTGGATAGCAGCTGACTTGAATGCTTTGTCTGAATATAAAATTGTATGTCCAGCTGGCTAATCAACTCAAACATGTCCCTCGAGAGTTCCTTGAGAGATATGACTCTCGAGGATCTTTGCTTTGCGAGCTGCAACATCACTTGGGAGCTTGGAGTTGAAAGTGTTCTTCTCACACCACTTATAGTATTCATGCTAGTAAATGTCATCAAAAATATGTCATACACTGTGAATTAGAAAGCACGTTACTTTATGCATTGCTTGCAGATGCCATTGAAGGGTTGACATGTCCACTACAATAGTGAAGTCGTTGATATTTCTCTTCCTATGACATGGTGAGATGAAGTTGCAGTTGCATGAAAAAGAATGACATGTACTTGCAAATTTGGCAACTGCGAACATGCTGTTTCATAGCCTTTTTGGATGGGTTGCTGTGCTCACGCTGCCATGGATTGCTGAAGAAGTGATTCACATTGGACGTGTCATTGCTGCTCTTCACTTTCTCTGCCAGCTCGAAAATATGCTGAATATCGAGTAAGACGCCATGGTCATCGAATTGATCCTTATCCTTTTCACCTCGTCCATTGAACAGGATGTTTTTCGATTTATCTAATTGAAATGCAAGGTTAGTACATTGTATGGTAGAGTGAAATAACAGCGCACCGGCAGCTGTCTTCGCCTTCTTCGATATCGTCACATCATCATCCTCCGACTGATTGCCCATTGTGTTCTGTGCATTCTTCTTACGTTTCAGTGCCAAATCTGGATTTGCTGTGTCATCGTCAATCTCAACAACTGAATATTTCAGTCTTACACCTTCACTTATCTCTGATGTCAATAACGTTGGCCTGATTGCATCAACCACCGTGCCATGCTCTGCATTATTGATATCATTGATCCTTGTGCTCAGCTTGATGATGCACCTTGAATGACATTCTCTAGGTGTCATTCCATCATCTATAATGGAACCACAAAATTAGCTCGTCTACTATGATTAGGCATGACGAATTGAGATGTACCTGAGCCTGGAAGGAAGCTCATCCAGACCAAAATTAGATGACATGTAAATGAGTGCAAATGGTCAGAGTGTGAAGTGGTGACTGTTCCCAGAAATGGTCAGATAAGAGAGTGAGTCAACAAAAAAGGGGGCAGATCACATGGATATTTTGTTACTCACTGACGATGTTTTGGGGTAACGAGCCTTTCGCATATTTGATTACCAACTGGCATGGTATACAGAGGCTCCGAAGGGTACTATCTACAACAAATGAAAAAAATGAACAGAACACCTGCAAGATGGTGAACTTGCTTTAACATTATGATTTGTGATGGACAAAGCAGGCCAGGGGACGAACCTTCTCACATTCCATGTTTGTTGAGTACATCCTACATGAGGCAATCTCACAGGGTGGTGAGCATTATGAGATCACCACTGAGATATGAGTGTTGACAACAGCGGCAATGCGTGGGGTTGGCTCGAGAACATAGGCTAGGCAGCAAGAGGTGGCAAGGGAGGACCGAGAGTGACCGAAATTGATTGTGTGGCCTCCTCATCTAGCGGCACGTGATGCCCTGTCTCTCTTTTCGGAAGAGCATCTATGTTGCTGTGCCTGAGCATCTATTGTGGCTGAAAGCCTGGGCTTAGAGTCGTGGGCTCAGACTTTCCCCAATTGAAAGTCGGGCCTCCGTAGAGGCTCAGAGAGGGCTTGGGCTCAGCTTTCGGTGACTTGGCCGGGCTTGGCTTGGCCCAGCTTGGGCTTTCAAGCCTGGCCTTGAACAACACTAACTCTGTCTTGGCTATATCTGAGAACAACACTGTAAACCTTTGCTGGCAGTCTTCTACTGCTAACGGGATGGTACGAGTAACATCTATTGTCTCTGCCCAATGAGTGAGGGGCTACTACATGTGAGAAAGCACACGTGACTGAAGGTTCCCAGGGAACGCTTCATAACACATGCAATGCCAAAAATCTGAATAGACAGCATTGACTATAATACTTGCATGTACATTGTGTGAATTTTTCAGATTTTTGAACGCATTATTTAGACAGGAAAGACGTGAATTGCATTAGGGTTGCAATTGCATTATGGGGCCACTGATAGTATATTCACGTCAGGAGTTTTGTCATTTGATCCGGGACAAAAGTAGTGACAGAATTTGAATAAACATATGAAATGTTCTAGGATAATATCTCTTGAAGGACATCGCAGCTGTTTTCCTAGATAGGACTTGATAGAACAGTTCTTATCTTATTAGCTCTTCTGATTTGGCTGACAGTCCAACAGCTCAGCCAGGTTGGCAGCAGAAACAATATCAGAAAAGGCAAACCGACTTAGGATAGAAATGGTATCCTCGGTAAAATCAATGATAAAATCTTAATTGTTGTCTTGGGTTAAGGTTCGAACTGTCCACTAAGAGAAAAACTATGGGAACTGCAGTGATGTTCACTCTCATGTTTGCTGGAACTGAAGCTCAAATGTTGTTCAATTTTCCGCTCATCGGCTGATTTGTGGCCACTCAAAAGCCAGTCATCGGTCGCTCAGTGGGATGCTGATCGGTCGTTGAGCACGCGATCATCCCATCGTTCAACTCAAAGATGGCTAAGGCACGGCCGATCTTCGTAGCCATTGCGGGCACAGGATTGTCGATAACCATGATGCTGGAGAGATTATTACTCCTATGCATAGACAAAAATGAAATGTTACATTGCACGCAAAGAAGTCTGATTCTAATCCACATACAGTACATGACTACTGAACAATGTCATGATGGCAACAGCAATCATTCATGCTTGCAATATGACTGCAGGAAGGACCACGCAGCAGATGAGCTGCTTGTCGTGAATATATGAGCCCGTTTGTCTCAATTCCTAAGCGAGCTTCACCATTCTGTATTAATGCATGGCGAATGATTGCCCTTGCAGTAGCCGTCACGAAGGTCATGAAACCAGCTCTCAGTGATTGGACTCCACCACCCAAAGTTGAGAAACCTGCTCTCAAATACTGCCAGCTCAGGCCACCACATCAGAAAGGAAGCATTCGTGAGATATGGCGAAAATGGATCACGAGATGAGCGGATATACGTTCCAACAATAACACTGACCTTGTCACTTGAGAGATCATCATCAACGTAGACGTTGCCAATGCTGTCGACAAACTGAAACCTGATACCCCGCATAAGTGTGAAGTCATCTGGACCGCCGAGTATCACACCGGGCTGAAGCGTTTCAAGGGCCAAGCACCACACTATTCCTCCCTGCAGCAGTGCAGCACGAGTGACCCGTGATTGGCTCAGCAACAGAAAGTCGCGGGCAGCCTCGTACGCTTGATAGTCCAGTGATGTGAACTGGTAATTGGCGTAACGCATGATGAGTCAAATTCGTGGACGAGGATCGTGCATTACTTGTCATTGTCTGAATCTTTGAGTGATCTCCGGAGAGTAGGCAAGGGTGTGGAAGGTCGTGCCTGTTGATTGTGTTTCAGGAATACCCTGACAATCAATTGTCAAATAATCTAATCTGATGCCACCATGAACCGTGCAGCATCCTCGACGTTCTGGACAGTGAGGGCAGTAGCGAGAGCTGTAGATGGGTTTTCAACAGCAATGATCCACATTCGCTTGCATCTCGGGAATTGTCGCTCATCTATGCCCCACAATTCTCTGATGTTGCATCGGGTGTCAGGTCTGTGAAGGGAGATGATGCACAATTCTGACTTATCCAGCTGTGTGCGAAGAAGATGGTGTGAGGTTAGATGAAGCAGCCACCAGTCAGCAGGAAGACCTTTCAGCTAGACGATCATCTGAGAGACCCAGGCAGTGAAGGAGTTTTCATCCACCTTGTCACTGGTTACAATGTCAGAACCGTGCTCAGACAGGAAGTAACCAATGGCTCTGCAGGCGTTGTCGACAGAAATCGATCACGTCGGATATCTTTTGCTCGTCATCAGCGAGATATTGCATATCGCTCGGAAGCTCACCATCTTCAGATCCAGCCTGAGGAGTGCCAGGTACTTTGTCCTCATCTTCATGAGGAGCAGCTGCCTCAACCTCGACCTCGTCCTCATGAGGAGCTGCCTCGATTTCGTCCTCATAAGGAGCTGCCTCGATCTCATCCTCATGAGGAGCTGCCTCGATCTCATCCTCGTCCTTGTCCTCGTAATGATACGTCTGATCATTCAGCGGCAAAGGATTGAGCTTGAAGTCATCATCACTGAAGAACATCTGGTCGGGCTGATGATCCCAATCGAGATTGTCGTCCTCATCATCTGAAGTCTCCACCATGCTATAGGCCTCCGTCATGCTTATGAGCTTGGGTTTATACTCAAGAAAATACACAACATTCCACTCCTGGGTGACAGAATCATAGCGTTTGCAGGCCAAATTATACATTTTCCATGTGCTCAGGCACTCTCTGCACTGCAGATGATTTCGCTTCCACTTCATGCTCTCTGAATCGAAGAGCCACTTGAAGATCTCATTGTGTCCCTTTGTGCTGATCTGATACTGTTTCGCATTGTTCTCCCTGTTCTGTTGAGACAGTTTTTGACGCGGTGACTCGAACTCGAAAATATACTGTGCTCTGTAGGCAGCGCAGTGTGCAAAAAAGGCACCAGATGTCTCACCATCCATATATTTTGGAGGAGATGGCAATTTCTCCCCCTCATAAATGGAGGAGCCATTCCACATGTACAGCTTCTTAGTTGAAGAATGGTGGTGTGGCAGAGGGCCTTTGCTCGTAGAGTCCTTGCTCATAGATGGAAGAAGGTCTTTGCCTGTAGATGCACGGTCTGCAATAGACGTATGGTGCGTGACATTGGAGGAAGATAGTGGTGATGCATCAAGGCTGGTGGATGTACCCCAGATGGAAGATGATGATGCTCAACCTGCTATAGCAGTATCATGTGTGCGAGAAATTGACAACGGGACAAAGAAGTGTGACTGCATTATTGTAAGATTGCGCCAGAGAGGACGAGGAGACACATCTCATGCCGTGCTAATGGCAGATGCTGTTGGCCACAAACCTCCCGTGCCATATATGCCAGGGTCTGGTTTGATCGACTCTACAGGACCCCAGTCAATGAAGACAGGGACATTGGCAATGATGAGAGCAGGAATCCATTGATACCAATTGCAATGGAAAGGATCGATGAACATGCCCGCACGTGGATTATTTGAGCTGAAGTCAGCCAGAACACTTGATGATAGCTGATCAGCAATGTGGCCCTGCAGCCCATTCTCAACAAGGATGTAATACCATTTGTGTGCATCCTGCGACTTGCACCAGATGACGGCAATGTAGAAGGAGATCACTGTGATGTGGTATATGAACTTTTTGCAAGCGAAGAAAGCCCATTTGTGAACAATGGTCTGATCCGGCAGCCACTCCATATAGCGCTCGGAGGAGGGTCCACGGAAAGTGGGAGCCTCCAAGCTGACCAACACTGCAGCGGCGGCATTCAGCACATTCCACGCCAGCACAAGCAGCTCCTCGAGGGTGCGCCACTTCTCCGCTGTAGCAACTCAGTACAAAGTTGTCTCTCCATTTTGCTTTTCCTCCAATGGTATATCCTTTTGTTGCAGCAAAGGCAGCATCTTGAAAAATGGCTCCGGGAAGTGTGACACCTTCAGGAAAAATGCAAGCTCTGGGCAATCATTCCTTGCCCATCTGCAGATATCCCAGCGATCATTGAGGATAATGGAAGAGGGTGGACCATCTGCGAGAAACTCAGTGCGCGTGGGTGACGAGAACGCTCACCCATTGTAAATGAACATGCTGAGGGTCACCTATTACAAACAATAAATCAGATGAACTGATGACTTTTTTCTGGACACTTACGGAAGACATTGAAACAATTGGAAACAAATTTGGGTTGGCGAGCAGGAGGGCAATGGGTACGTATTGACTGCTGCCAACACCGGAGCTTTGCAAGGGGGAGGAACTTGCAACGGTCAACACTGATACGAGCTTTGAGATTCGAGGGTGAGGAACTCACAATGGTCAACACCGGTGTGAGCTTTCGAGGTACGAGGAATGGAGTAAAGGAGTGAGTCAGTGCGCGAAGAGTCAGCACGTGAATGTGAGTTGGCTGACCAGATTAGTCACCAGCTTAGTCATCAGCTTAGGTGCCAATGCTAGTTCCATAATCAGCTGAGGTCCCTCCTTTCTCATGATCATTCCCACACTCTCCCATGCCTCTTCACGTCTTCTCTTTCTGTCCTAGCGGTGTTGACTGCTAGGACTCTTCACGTCTCATACTCCTCATCCTAGTGGTGTTGACCGCTAGGACTGATGAATCTCATGATCATGTCCATGTCTCAACGGTGTTGACCGCTGAGATAGCTATGACTGCAGAGATGGCTATGTCCGATGACTTTGCTTAGAGCGGAAACCCTCCATGGCATGTAAAATCATGGATACTGATAGGTGAGTTCACATTTTCTGTTCATATCTGTGATTCAATATTTGGTGTCCTCGATGCTTCAGCTCATGCTACATGAGATGTACTAAGAAGCATATCACCCATTGATGAATGTGGATCCTCCACCACTCTGTCATATCCAGTCCTTCGGTCATCTATGAAGGCTTGATTGAGAACTTCACATGATGTAGATGACCACAGACCCACCTCTCCTTTGAAGATTGCCAGCAACCCAATGAGAAATATCATTACCATCAAACCTTCAGAAATGGCACGTATGAGGACTATGAAGACATTTTAGGAGACAGTAGTCCCCGCATTGATGTTCCCAGCTGCATCTCCAGGTCCCAGTCCAAAGCAGACTTTTCTGGACTATCGAAGCAGTGGATGTGTGGTCTCCTCACTCAAACATGTGTGTCGTGTCGGCAGGGTCCTCTCCCATATAGATATTGAGGGTGCATTATTCGAGGATGAAGCGCAAATGATCTTCGAGATTTTTCCATTCCAGTGTGTCTACGTAGGCATTAGTATGATTCATTTGAGGTGCAAAGAGTTCTTTTGCACTGTGATGCTCTGCACCAAGCCCTTGGGTGCATGCCCCAGTACATCTATCAGTTCACCACCCTTTTTGTCGAAGACGTAGACCTTCCCGTAATCACTGCCGGCGATCACTACATGTGAGGATTCGCCAAAAATGACTGGTTTAGGCAAGGTCATTTGCGATTCACCTGCTGTGTAGGTTGCGACCTCCAGTCCAAAATTCATCTGGTGCAAACTAAAACCATCCATGTGATTGACGAGCACCACACCCTTGTCTTCATCAATGGTAGCATAGCCTCTGTGAATGGTCATGTGTAGGTGTGTGGTATACATCGATGCACATTCCGTCATAATCACTCACATCACATCGGTCATCTGTCTGGGTTTCGACGAGATCTTCCCTGTTTAGATGCTGATGGAGCACCTATTATCATTGTTGTGAGCTTGTAAAAACTAGCTCAGATGCTGGCGGCTCACATATGGCCATCATGGAGACTGAACATCCACACGTTCCCTTCATCTGGGAATGACAATGCTCTCAGGATCATACTCCATGTGTTGACATGAAAGTGTTTCTGCAGTGCTCACCCATGGGCCCAGTCAAAGTAACAGACTTGGCCATCTGTTGTGCTGGCAGCAATGCGATGACTTTCTTTCAGAATTGTTGTGGCAAGGGCAATAATTTCGCTTCCGCAGTTGACTCGCACGCGTATCTCATGCCAGAACCCGAGCTATGAAAGTATTTTTAGCACTTGCATAGGTGAAAATTGCGACAGTCACCTCTTTATCTTTCATAAATATGTGAATGTATCCATAAGAGGTGCCAAATAACACAGTGTCATCATCAGCCCACTGTGAGTTTGTCACTTGTTTGTCGACGTTCTTGCTGTAATTGGGCTCCAGAACATGTTCGGTTGTCTCGCACATGCATATTTTCAGTCCAATGCTCCCTGAGATTGCGTCAACACCATCGCTAATGCCATGTCTCACAGCATACCTCCATATGCCAGCATCTGACCATCAGGAGACACGGATATGGTATACACGACCTGCCCAATGTCTACAATGCGAGTCCTGCACTGGTAGCTGGATTGGTTGTGGTCTTAAATGCCCAGTGCAATGGCTGCAATGGAGCGAATGGATTGAGTGGATGTCATGACGTTCTGATTCTGCATTGAGCACAACACAGGTAATGACAATAGTAGTGCGATAGTACTACTCAGTGGTCGACACTGCTGAGTGAAGAATGAAGAATGATGCACGGGCAAGGTGAGATGGGGTACTCATAGGCCCCTTTATGCAATACAGAATCGAAGGACAAAGGACACTCGGACAAAAGGACACTCTGACAATAATCAAAGGACACTCTGACAATAACATACAGGGATAGTCAAGAATGACCACCGACTCCACGCTGACAATAAATGTCCAGTGCAACCGATGCTGACAATAACCGCCCAGCGACCAATGCCGACAATAACAGACTGAGCTTAAAGCTGCTGGTGCATTCTAATATTCATTCTAAGATTCCTTCACATGTTCGCATCAATGACTGAACAAGATCTGACCTCCAGCACCCCTTTTTTCCCCCAAAGAACTAGCCATCCACACAGAGCTTTCACACTTTCACGTGTACGGCAGTCTCCTCGTATATATATAGAGCTGTGCTCGATTTGCCACATCACCCATTCTCACACTCACCCATACTGTCGCCCTCTGCCATGGTGTGGTTTCACATCACCAAACCACTGTCTGAACCTTGACATTGCCGACAATGTTGCTGGGGGACCGTTACCCACAAGAAGACTCCCGCACACTCTCATCATGGAACCCCTCACCCCAGAGTGATGCACTCTCGGCAAACCACTCCAGGACCATCCCAACACCCACCTACGTATTCAGGATACTAGACCAGTGATCACGAGGATGATGCTGAGGATGGATGATGAGACTGGCACTGCTGGAATGCACGATACTGTCACTGTCACAGAACCCAACTCTGATGGTCTCATCTCGAAACCTGAAGGTGAGGTTGGTTATCTGAAGTGCGGCTATGCTCTTCAGGTGATCCTCGGTTGGCACGCAAAGTGATATAAGGCACTGAAGGTGAAGGTCAACAGTTATGTTGCCAATTATCTTGACCATGGATATAGCATGTCCAATCAGCCAGCCAGGAAGATCGAGGAATTGATGAAGCTGGTGAGTGCCATGCCATCATGTTGTCCACAGTTGTCATTACAATGTTATGGCCAGATCCTTGCAGAATACCCAAATATAGCCTCCAAATATCATGACGGATGGCCGATTAGTGATTTCATTCATCTCCGCGTCAAGTATACCTCATCACATATTGCTGGTCAACACTCAGTCCGTCAAGGGCGGGATTATCCAAAAAATATTAAGAAAGCACTAGTGGGTATTGACCCGTTTCTCCTTGCATGGTTCTGACAATGTCACATAACCAGCTAGCACTCGAGACTTGATGGGTCATGCAGGAGCAGCAGTGATGATAACAATGGCACGAAATATCGCATTTCTAATGTTTTTATACTATACACGCAAATATATACACGTGAATACATACATATTAATAGTGTGCTGATCACAATGCATCGACACACCTGCCCACACCCACCTACCGAACTCGCTACTTCCAGGTGGGGCAGCCCTGATGATGCTCTGAAACTCACGGGGGTACTCGTGACATCGACTGAAATGTCTCAATGATCGTCCGGGTCATTGTTTGGGTCATTGTCACTGTTCAGGTTGACGGTGTTGCTGTTCGGGTCATTGCTCTGGTCACTGTTCGGGTTGGGGCTGGTTGCATAACTCTAGAGCTCATCGTCGGCACTCCTGGGCTGTGCAGTTGCCTCATACGATGAATTACTGAAGCATTTACTCCAGCAGCAAGGGATCATGTTGGTTGTGGTGGGTGAAGATGTGTTATAGGGCTGACGTGCATCGTAGGGCTGACATGCATCGTAGGGTCGACGTGCATCATAGGGTCAATGTGTGTCATGGAGGAGCTGACGTCGTCAGATGGTGGGACATCTTCAAGGCAAAGAACGGGTTCAACAGATTCCACAATGCTTTGGAGGTCCTGAGGGTCTCCAAGCCAATCAATTGCCTCGTTCAAGATGTGGATGAATCTTTCATAGTCGCAAGCTGCTTGTGCGAGCTTTTCATCTATTCCCAACTATGGAATTGGTTGCTTTTGATTTTCTGCTTTGTGAACTAAGGCGACGCGAGTATGCAGAAAGTCTCGCATTGGTTCCGAAACCAATGTCCACGCATTATGCATGTAAGGTGTCACCTGGAACAATGACAGCCAGCTTGGATTGGTCAATGCTGACACCTTCGAATCTGTGCACTGTTCTGCGCGCTCGGTGATATCACCCCAAATCTTGAATTTTTCAACCTGTAACATAGCAACTGGCTGCACATCCTTTGTCGGCCTCTCCAGCACGGCACAATAATATGCAAACACATAGAAGAATGACTCCAGATCATCCATATGATCATGCAGGTCAAAAATAGAGATGTTATCATCAGTAGTAAACAGTACTTTCACTGATTGGAATGTGCACGTGCCCTTGACATACACAAAGCCATAAGTAAGTGAGCATCGCTTAAATGAAGGAATATGCTCACCATTTGCAAATCACCTGCAGTTGCTCCGCCATCCTTATCCAAACTCCACAGCTTCTCGACGTCGGCCGCCAGGTCCAAATCAATGATTTTCTCCATATTGTACTGCCGCTTAGTAGGAAAATACATCAGATTGTTGATGCTGACATCACGGTGGAGAATTTTTCATTTCAAGAGCAAGTTCCTGTGCCCTATCTGATAGTTAGACGTGACAAGGTCACTTACATTTATCACATGACTTACCACAGATGCAGTCGTGAAATGCTATGAGGAATGTCCGAGGGTCCGACGTGCACGATAATGGTCCATTGTATCATTCAAGTAGGAGTTGGCATCGAATGCGGTCAGTGGCGTAAGAGGTTTCGACACTTCTATCAGTGTCATGTTTCTCGAGCGAAAATAAAGTGGGCTTGATAAGAAATTGCTTCCCCCGTATGTCAGAAACCCTCTCTCCTTCCTTGAACGCCACCAATTGGCCTACTCCATTGAGATCCAAGGCACATGACAATGTCTGTGCCTCTGAGGATCGATTAACTGCATGCCAGTAATCCTTCAAGATGCACGTAAAGCAACTATCTCTGACAATCTCGAACCAGCAGGTCGTCTCACACGATTGAATTGTACGGCAACGAGTGTAGCGCGTCGCGTTCATGACGATGTCATCTTTTGTGGTCTGCACTTTCTGGTCGACAACCTCCACAACCTGAGGAATAATATTGAAATCCCGCAATGTAATTGTGGCCTCGATCTTTGGAGGGATGTGTGCTGTTGGATAGAACATGATATCAGAATCTCTAAATACTTCATCAGACCATAGGAGAATGAGAATCACGAGAATGAGGAGATGGTGATGGGTGTGGAAATTGACCAAGTCAGAGTACCATCCGCCACTTCTATCGTATCCATAAATCTGAAGTCACTTATTAGTTATGATGAACGACAATATGAAGTGACGATCCGGTTGGTCAATGAGAGCTTGGCGGACATATGCAGCGAGCTGTAACCTGTTCTTTTGCCTGTTCGTGTCATGATCCAACTTGAAGTCAACAAAGCTACACGCATGACAATATTTGGGCCCCATAGGCTCAGAACAAATATGGCAACTGTCGCCATGCACCACAAAATCTGGGCTGGTAGCTAATTTTGACACGGAGTGACGTTGCTTCACATTGTACACGTTCTTTGCTGTACCCTTGATCTTCCCTGGTATGATATCCTGGAAATCCTTCTTGATAGAGCGGAATATATCAAGAAAGATGGGATACATCTGAAACTCCTGCCTAAAGTCTGCGTCCAGTGTCAACCATCCGTTTGGACAATGCTTGTGCAGATAATTGGGTACACCTTGTCGAAGAACTGTTTTTTCCTTCAGATGAAGTCCTTCATCCAGCAATCGCCACAAGAATCCAGCGACGTTTTCTATGTCACCAAAATCCATCCATCCACCCAATTCTGCATTCAAAATACCTAATAGACGCAACGGTCACCTTTGAATTGAGCTCTGAATTTGCAGAGGATGGTCTGGAAGGAGTGCTGTGGACTGCTACGGGTATCACTTTCTTCTTTGGTGTCACCATCACACTTGCACGGTGTGGTCCGGTGATAACAGCTGAGTCTGAGTCTGATCCTAATGAAGATGTCGGCGAGCCTAGCTTATACTTGAAGTCGAGCATGGTGTCAGCGTAATACTGGAATTGTCGATTTGGAAATGTGCAGCGAGAACCAGCTGACATCGTTCAATGACGTAGTATGCAGTGGAGAGTCCGTTGCATTGGTCAACACCAACATGATGTAATGAAAATGCAGTGGAGAGTCAGTCACATTGGTCAACACCAACACCAACACGATATAATAGAGCAATGGAACAATGTGGGGAGTCCCTCGCATCCTTGCGTCAGTCAACACGAGCACGGCATGTGAGCACGTGAGCGCGCTTGCTCTATGTTCGAAATCACGTCCGGCACTGAGATCACCGGGTAACCGGTGCAGTCCTACATCATCGACACATAACAAGCTTTTAGACTATAAGCTGGTCCTACGTCATTGGCGCATACCAAGCTTCTGTTATCTCGCATCTATTATCTCGCCTATACAGCTTGTTAGACTATAAGCTTGTTGTGTTGTATCTATTATCTCGCATTTATAAAAGGTTGTTTCATTGTCTCGCCTATACTTCGACAAAAAAACCAGTCCATTGATACCAGCCACTCACAGTTTTAGTTCTATTATCTTGCCGTTCATTGTTTCACCTATACTTCGACAAAAAATAGTCCATTGATACCAGTCGCTCACGCCTCTATTATCATCTCGTGTATACTTCGACAATAAATACTAGTCCACTGCTCACAGTTTTTTTTGTTAACTGGACAATCTATAAAAGGCTGCCTACACACCCACCAAACTCACCTACCAAACTCACCTACTCCTCTCACATGAGTGTTGACATGCGTGAGCACTTTCCTCTGTGCTACCTATGTTCATTCATTGGTGCAGGTCGTCGAAAGCGTGTCCTGTCTTCGTAGCTCATTAACCGTCACAATCTCCCTCCTCTCTATGCTCCCTGTTTTCATCAGCAATCGTCACTTCCCATACAATGGATTTGGGCCATTCCTCTGCCCATAGCACTTTACATCAGGAGTCGGAGTCGATGAGTGGAATGCCAGGCACATTCCAGGAATCGAATGAGCAGTCAATGGAAGTCGATTCTTTGGTACACGTCATCTTTCATCAGTGTCAGAACTTCATCTGTTAACATTAAACTCACTTCAGACTGCCCAAATCGTGACATGGTTCCAGTTCAAACCTTTTCACCGATCAATTTCACCCCCGCCTACATTGCCTCGGGCCGTCAAGCAATCTCTTATGCTGCCAAGTCCATTACCATCCCAGACATTCCAGACAAATGGAGCTGCTTTGTCTGTGGCCCACAGTCTCCAAGTCGCTTCAATCACTGCCCCACCATCCAGTCTCCAAGTGGCTTCCACCACATCCACGCCATCTGAGATGCCCAGAAACTCACGCAGACTGTCTCCATCTGATGAGAGTGAGGCGTCATTGTCATTGGCCTTGCAGAGCTCAAAGATTCGTGTCATGGAGGTGGAGACTCCGAGTTTATATCAGCAAGCAATGCTGAGGCGCCTACGTCACCAAGCAAGCCGTTCTGACAGTAGCACATCAAGAATGGCACGTCAACAGATCGCTACATTGCAAGGTGAACTGTGGGCTCACAGCAATGACTTGACTACAACTCTTGCAGTAGTGCAGGAGATGCTGGACACATCTAGGATGCAGACACAGAATACCTGTGAGCTAGCGGAATGGACTCGATGAGCAGCCGCATACGAGCAGCAGCTTTGTGCTCAACAGGATGAGATTGTGGCACAGAACAGTCATCTGCAAGCTATGGCTGCAGTGCATGCTGATAAGGGCATGGAGATATGGACAGAACTCCATGACAGCCTGCAGGAGGTGCACCGCCTTCAGCTGGACTTGAGAGAGAAGGACGACGCCATTATGGAATTGACTGCCAAAATCGAAACCATTCAGGAAGATTCTTGCAGGGAGAGGGATCGCCTAGCGGCTGATCATGAGCGTGAAATGCTGGCTCTAGAGGCAAAGATCAATGCTGATATGCAGGTGAGACAATCATCCAGGACATATGATTGAACAGACACTGATGAGATATAGGCCCTCAAACTATCTCTCTCCCAACAGGTACCACCTCCGCTTCCACTCCCATCAATGATGCGACAACCTACACCATTTTTGCAAGCCTCTGATTGCATGCAGTCTCTATCACCATCTCCTCAACAATATCCGCTGCCACCAAAAAACCCAAGCAGTGTGCACAATCCTCTGCCACTATGCACATCTTCGTCAATGGTGGCATCTATATCAATCAATGCACCGATCCTGCTGCCACCTCTGGGTAAGACAGCGGAGAGGCAACGAGCTAGGAATAAGGTTGAGGCAAATCAAGTCGAAGCTGACCGCCGAAGATTCAAGGCTTCGGGTGATCGTCCTTTCCACTTGAGTGAAGTTCAGTGGATTTTTGCAGAGTATTTCGATGCTTCTGAAGATGAGGACTTCATCAGCAGCCACGTTGCCATGCCAGTAGATGTAGTTAAATCCTATTTGCAAGGTTTTGGCTCGGGCCCTAACACACAAGATCTCCACTTCACCACTGAATCACCGTACAACAATTCATGGAATCACACAATCTGTTCTCACTTGGCCAGCATACTGTGTGAGAGACAGATGAAGGAGCTGTGGCACTTGACAGCCAAGGGAGGTCAGCTAGTTGCAACAGCTTCCGTAGCATATTGGGAGAATGCCTTTCTGGAAAAGTTCAAGTGCATCCACTCAGGCTGGCTCAATGTCTGGCCTCTAGTCATGCAGGATCATGTCATGGGGCAGGCGAGGCAGGAGTCAAGGACCGAGGCTGATCAGCGGTGATACCAACATCGTGAGGGGGTTTGCAAGCAGGTGAGGAAGCGAGAACGCAGATGCAAGGTAATGGTTTGCGTTCGAGCACATGCACCAGTCTAAATTTTCCACACAGCATTGAGAAAGGAGAAAGCAGGTTTGCAATGCAAAGATCTGCTTTGCAGAGAATCGATTCATGAAGTCGCAATGGTCAAATCTTTTGAGAATTCTCAAAATCTTGGGGGACAATGGCATGAGCTCAGATGAATCAGCCACAGAGGAAGTTACACACCGACCTTGCTACCAAGTTACCATCCTTCTGTGGAGGTGCGATTTTGATGCCATGATGGACATCATCGACGATGCGTGCATGGACGTCACAAGTGGCTACAGCAACAGAGGATCCAAGCCAATGCCATGACATTGTCACAAGAGGCATATTGCTTGGTCCCAAGGAGACACCATGGTCATCAAGCTCACAAGACGTGAGCCTGTTTGTGACCTACCTATCGAATTCTATGATGAGAAATGGCTCAATGAGTGCACCGATGAGTATGTGGAGCACGTTTTGCGTGTCTCGAGAAAAGGATACCAATGGGTCCGTGACCTCGCTCAGTCTTACAGTGGCTTGTGATTGCTAAGAACGTTTCTGTACAATGTAGCACATCATAGCTCAGTTTGGCAATATGCAGCGGGAACTCGCTCGCATCGGTCCACAACACGACTTTTGAAATATGTAACGTGAACAGTAGGAACTCGCTCATCTTGAGTGGACGAGGGCAGTCTGACTGTGCTGAGTGTGCCGATTGGCCATTCATGTCTGTCGATTTGTCCTCACCTTGGTCAATGTGGACACGTAAAAGTAGAAGAAGGCAGTGACTGCAATCGCGTCGGGGGAAGAGAGTCGTAAAGCAGAAAGAAGGCAATGACTTCAATCATGTCGGTCAATACCGATGCGATTAGAGGGGAGAGAGTCAAGCAGAAAAATGACTAGAAAAGAGCCAAGAGAGTCAAGAGTCGAGCGGAAAAGTAACTAGAAGAGAGCCAAGAGAGTCGAGAGTCGAGAAAAGAGTGACTGCAATCGCACCGATCAACACCGACACAATTAGAGGGAAGAGAGAGCAGTGATCTCAATCATGTCAGTTAACACCAACGCAATTAGAGGGGTGAGAGTTGAACATTGAGTGAGCAAGTAGAGCCATAGAGCTAAGGAGAAGCTGATGACTAAGCTGATGACTAATTTATTCAGCCACCAACACATCCCGTCCTTGCCACGTCACGCTCTCCTCTGGCTCACCCGTCTCCACTTCATCATGATCGCATCCGTGTTGACTGCTGCAACACATTCTCAAGGCCATTATGATGCATCCCAAAATCTATGCAATGCTGGCCTCCACCATATTACCCTTGATTGCACTCCTTTGCGCACTTCTTGTATCATGGTTAGGTCTTCCGTCTGAGTACTCCGAGCTCCTGGAAGAACAAACCTATCTATCTCAACAATTGGCGAACATATCTGCGATCTGCAACACTGCATGCCATCAGTTCTCACCTGTTGGAATCAAAACAAAAAATGTAGGCGACCTTGTGGTCTTAACCACAATGGGCATAGGTACCTTCCCCGAGGACGTGAGAATAACTGAGCAGTCTTTGGGCAGACTGTGCACCAGCGTAAAAGATGCTTCCGACTGGTAAGCCTTTATCATAGATGATCTTTTCAATGCACTGACAATTGTCTCAAGGTTTCTGACCAGCAATGATCAGATGGTCCCCAAAGTCAAATCTGCGAATGCACACTCACTGTTCAGATGGCCTTGGTCCTCTGTTAAAACCAAGGCAACCATAATGGACATCTTCTTTAGATCAATTACTATGCTGGACAGTGATTTGGATGATTCCACCATTGGTGTTGACCTTAACGACGACCGCCTCAAATTTGTAATATCACAGTTTTCAACACTTACCAGCACCGCTCATCGCAAGCAGGTCAAAATCCACGCTGCTCATGACAAGCTTTGGTCATCTCCTTGGACCTGGCTTGGCTACAATCGTCGAGAATTAAATATTCAATGGCTTTCTACTGGGGCTCTCGGCGAGGCATTATCTTATCATCATTACATCATTGAGGACATCAGCACTACTCAGTGCACATTGTACATGCTGGGCAAGTGTATTGAGGAGCTACGTGGCAGGCTACGTTCATTGAAAGTGCTGGATGACCAAATCCTCATCCTACATTGACGATCTAGCTTTTTCCCCTATATCATCGTGGTTCTGCTCACGTCGTTGGTGAGTAACAATGCATTCATAGATAAGCTGCATTGTCTGACAACTTATTAGACCCAAATGTCCACACTCTATGCCACCAAAAAAGCCCAGAAAACCGCAAAATGTGCGAAAGCTGAAGTGGAGGAGCAGATTCGTGTTAAGGATGCCACTCTGGAGGAGATGCTGAAGGCAGAGAGCAGTTCACATCAGGAACTTGGGCAGGCACTGGACAACGTCTGGTCAGAGCTGGAAGCCAAGACATCACAGCTGGATGTGGAGCGTAACACTCACCGGGAACTCGGGCAGAAGCTGCACAATATGAAGTCGTGGCTGTGGAATAATCAGGCTGAGCTAAAGGCCATGGCCACTATAGCCTCGCTAGATGAAAACCTCCAGACCACGATGCATCGGGTGGATGCAGAGCGCAAGAGTCACAGGGTACTAGAGCAGATGATGAACAACATGCGGTTGGAGCTGCAGGCCAGAACGTCTAAGCTGGAAGGGGAGTGCAGTGCTCATACGGTGCTGAAGAAGATGCTGAACAGCATGCAGTTGGAGCTGCAGGTCAGAATGTCTGAGCTGGAAAAAAAGTGCACTGCTCACACGATACTAAGGCAAAGGTTCAGAAATATGCAGTTGAAGCTGAAAACGTCCGAGCTGGAAGAGGAGCGCGATGCTCACTCACTAGCACAGACACTGGAGACAGAATGCAGTGCTCATCGAGAACTAGAGCAGATGCTGGTTAATATGCAGTCTGAGCTGGAATCAGCGCAATCAGTGCTCAGAATCAGGGTCTTGGAGCTCGATGAAATGTGCATGACGGTGAAGGAACTAAATCAGACGCTGAACGAGATGCAGTCGAAACTGCAGACAGAGCGCAGTGCCCGTCAAGAGCTCAAACAGGCACTGGAAAAGGTGCAATTGGACCTGCAGGCAGAATGCAGTGCCCGTCAAGAGCTCGATCAGGTACTGAAAAAGGTGCAGTCAGAGGTGAATGCTAAAACATCTGAGCTAGACGTGAAGCACAGTGCTCACCAAGAACCTGTGCAGACACTGGACAAGGTGCCACCAAAGCCAAGCATCGAGACGTCTGAATCAGAGGGAGAGCACACTGCTCACCAAGAACCCATGCAGACACTGAACGAGGTGCCGCCAAAGCCTTCCCTCGATGTTCCCCTCACCTTCAGTCCTGAAGAGTTCCCCATGTGCTTCCCGTCGGCAGCCGACCTTGAAGAGTTCAGCAAGCACTTCCTGTTGCCAGAGTCACAGACACATGCAGGTTCCAGCATGGATGTGGGAGGTGGCAAAAAGATGTCCATGCAGGCTGCCATGAGAAGGGACCAGTATAAACCTGTAAGGTGAGCTGGTGAAAAGGCCTCTGGGCAACGTCGAAGGAGAGGAGAATTGGAAGCGACCATGAAGACCGTTCCCTCACCTTGGCCAACCTTGAGACCAAAATGCGTGAGGGAGCAGATGATTCCGATTCTGTTTCTGATCCACCAAGTTCAGGGTCAGAAACTTCTCTCAAATCGCAAGCGCAGGTCACCATGCCTGGGATGAGCAAGGCCACGGTGGAATCCAATTCTAATCTTGCTCCAGATTCAAGGTCAGAAACTTCTCATGAATTGCAAGTGCAGGTCGCCATGCCTGGCACGAGCAAGGCTGCTTCCCCAGCATGGCCGATGTCGAGGCAAGAATGCGTGCACAGTTTTGATGGAGGGAACACAGCACCGGATGCTCCTCCCACATCGAGTATGTAGGAGTGGAGGCTCTCATGCTGAGGGATGCCCCTCTCACATTGAGTATGTAGGAGCAGAAGCTCTCGTGCTGAGGGATGCCCCTCTCATCGGATGCCTCTCCCACATCGGGTATGTAGGAGTGGAGGCTCTCATGTTGAGGAATGCCCCTCTCATCGAATGCCCCTCCCACATCGAGTATGTAGGAGCGGAGGCTCTCGTGCTTTTCAGTCATGCTTCTGTGCTGTATCTGCGCTGGACTTTTAGCTAGTATCACCATGTCGGACATCATGTGTGCGTTTTTGACTGTATTGTATTGTACTTTGGTCTACTTCAGTCATCAATGTGAGCTCGCACTTATTTCTGTTGGATGGACTGCAGTCGCCGTCTGTTCTCTCCAGCGAAGCCTGAGAGGTGTGAAAGCAGGCAATCGTGTCAGTCAACACCGATGCAATTAGAGAAAGAGTCTCTGCAATGGGTGCTCGAGTCAATCTAAGAGGCCTGGCACTTAAGTCAATCTGAAAGAAGCATCTATATAGATCTAGATCTCCCACCAATCTCAATTGTCTCCAAATTAGGTATGCCAAATCCATCTCCCATTGTCCAGACGATTCTCTCCGAAAGACCCTCATAGCAATGCATCTCGACAGTGTTGACCGTCAGGAGCAGTCTCCAGCATCTATCTCTGCCCCGACGACCCTCATTCAGCAATGCATCCCAACGGTGTTGACCATTGCGAGCAGTCTCCAGCATCTATCTCTGCCCCGACGACCCTCATTCAGCAATGCATCCCAACGGTGTTGACCATTGCGAGCAGTCTCTAGCATCTATCTCTGCCCCGGCGACCCACTGAGGCCTCTATCTCTGCCCTGATGACCCTCATTTAGCAACGCATCCTGACAGTGTTAACCGTTGCGAGCAGTCTCTCATCTATCATTGCTTGACATCTACCTGTAGCCCTGTTCATGCCCACCCATCCTTCTGCGCTTTCTCGTTGGCAACAGCAGTACTCATCTGCTATTTACACAACTGCTGTCTTTGACAATGCAGTCCGCATTCACGTGAACACCACTGATGATGTTTCCAATGAAGCGGCTGATACCACTGACGACCTTGCTTATCGCATCATGACGATGACCATCGCTGATGAAGGCCCTCATATGGATGCACAACCCAGTAAGCTGTGGATGACATGAAACCAGTTCCAAGCGACGCAGCCTGTTCTCGAAGAGACTATAGATGCCTCCCTAGCGAATGCCCTTCTTGACACTTTCCAAAGGATGACATCATTCCATTCTGTAAGCTCCCTTCCTACCTCATCTTCATGCAGTGCTGCCCATGCCCACCCTTCCTCGTGTGTGCCTCAACCTCAGGGACCTTCGCCAGCTTCAGATAGAGATCCCAAAAATCTGCCACCCAGACATCGGAATGCTGCAGAGTTTGCAGTTCAGCAGCAACTACCCTCCGCCACTCTCATTCGTCGTGATATTGCTGTTTATGAGGAGAAAGCCAAACTTTCACCCACGTTGAAGCCATACTATGAGCTCCACACATCTCTCTAAACGGCAAGCCAGTCCCTCAAGTTTCTCGACCATCAGGATGGTCGCGTGCTGGTGATCCGTCAGGAACTATCAACTCGGTTGGCTCAGCTACAAGAGGTTGTTACAAGATGGAGCAAGGTCGTCGGCTTGCCGGCAGAACTGAGGGTAGTTGACACAAGTGAGCTTGTCTGTCTGACATACTATCTGGCATTTGCTGATATCATTATTTCCAGGTCATCATTTTGAGCACCCAATAGATCGCTATTCAGAGCTCACGCAGGTTTGCTTTTTGCTCACATATATTTGCAAAGTCATCCTCGGGCTCAGTCGGTGTGGCAGTGATTTAGCATTGGGGATCCTCAACATCATACTCTGGATGATTTGCCAATGAGTGAATGATACAGATGTCCCGTTACCTTGACAAACCTTAGGTCAAATGCCTTCTACAGTCAACACAATCACATCCAAGTTTCAGATGGATGGTGAGACCACTGTCCGTGCAGTATGTCCGAAGTGCCATGCACATTACGATCATGAAGATGGCCCTGCATCCTACCCCTTGACATGTATGAATCAGCCAACACTGCAGTCTCACTGCAGTGCTCGTCTTCTCGACCAGAATGGGTCTCCGTTGAAGGCCTTCACCCATCACAGATTTAATGACTATCTTTCTGGCATTTTCTCTTGACGAGATCTCGAGAAGCACATCGAGAAATCCTGTGCTGATTTAGATGGACCTGCCCCACTGGTCATGAAAACTCCCTTCCATGGCGAGTTCCTTCGAGGGTTCCACGGTCCAGATGAGAAGCGCTTTGTCAGCTCCATTGAGGGGGAGGCACGGCTAGTCTTCACGATGTGCATTGATTTCTTTGCTGCTGAGGGTATGAAAGTCTGTGGTCCAAGTACAATGGTTGATATCATTGTCCTAGCGTGTCTCAATCTACCCATCGAGATACGTTACAAGGCCAAGAATATGTATCTCATGGGCATTATCCCCAGTCCTACTGAGCCTTCACTCGTGGAGCTGAACCACTACACTAATCCTGTCATTGATGACATGCTCATCGCGTGGTATATCAGGCTACGACTTACTTGGACCGTGCTGCACCCAGAAGGACTGCTGGTAAAATGTGCAATAGCTATTGTTGTATGTGATCTCCCATCAGCTCGCAAAACCTCTCAGCTCGCTTCATCCATCTCCAAGATCTTCTGCTCCGTGTGTGACTGCTGGAAAGTGCGGGACAATCGGGGAAACATAGTCAAGAATTGGCGGAGCTTGTGTGGATGTTTTGATTATACGGAGTGACACATCCACGATGTGGATGTCATGCGGTCAGCGGCCAAGGCATGACGGGATGCAAAGACCATTGCTGAGCAGGACACCATCTTCGCAAAGCATGGTATTCGATGGTCTCCACTCTGGAGATTACCATACTGAAATCCTTGTCGACAGCTCGTCGTTGACAGTATGCACTGCCTGCTTGAAGGCACCATCAAGTTTCACTGTCTACACGCTCTCGAGCTCACCGATACTGCTGCTCATGCCAAACCTGCAAGACCACCTGCTTTCACTTGGACTTTCAGTCGCCCCAACATTTTTGATGATGAGCCGCTCACGAATGCTGAAGAGGCACCGACCATTGCGATTGCTGCTGACAGTTTGGCTGAGGTGGACCGTGCTGTCGAGGAGGACGGACTGGCAGCCTCCGACCAGTGGAGTCAGAAGGAGTTGAAAGATCTCAATCGTATTCACAGAGCACTCACTTCGGAGCTCCATGATGATGGCGAGGTCATCAAACCCAGCATTCGTTCCCCTTCTGGTCTGCAGAGCTATGTACCTTGTCAATTGCTTATGCCGTCCTCTCACCTATGTACTAGAAGATGTACACGGTGTGGCCATACCCTCCAGAAGTCGTGGCTGAGTGACTAAGGTTGATATTGCATGTGCATTGGTTCAATGGGTCAGTCATTAGTCAAATTGTGGTGGTGTTGTTTCTCTGATGTAATACAATTAAGCATCTACGACACCCAAGAAAATTCAGCAGTATTGATACCATCAAGATCACGATGCCCGCAGTGCTTGACCACCTCTGCCACATCATCCAACATGCAGAAACTCTGTTCTGAGTTGGCTCTGTGTCATATAACTTTGGTGCTGCCACAGCTGATACGCCTAAAGCGGATGAGTGGCGTACCATGTTTACCATCCACCTTCCTATCACCTTCATCCTTCTTTTTGATCTAGGCTCATCGTGTGCTTCTGATGACAACACATCTGCATTGAGTCAGATCTTGGACCACACTATGCAGCTCATTTGTGTGGTACTACTCACATGCAAACATGCAACCACTCTGAGTCGCATCCAATGCTACCAACAATACATGCAGAACTACATCAGCCAGTTATCCACTCTGTTTTCGAACCTAGAACACGAATCTATCCATCATATGGCCTTTCACATTTCTGATTTTCTCAAGCTTTTTGGCCCGGTTCATTCCTGGTGGTGTTTTCCCTTTGAAAGGCTGATCGGTTAACTGCAACGTCTACCAACAAACCACAAATTTGGTGCGCATTTTTCTCTCTTCTCACTGTTGCATATTGAATTGTATAAAAAGGTGAGCTTGAGGGAACTATTCATAGTGCATTCTTGCATGAAGTGAATCTAAGGTGATGGCTCTCTCGACCTGATGCTCCAGACAGTGTTCGATGGTGCAAGATACTTTTCGAAAAGCTGTATGGAGAAATGCCCAGCGATGGAGCTCATATCCACGAGATTATCGCTGCCGATGAGGAAGCAGTGAAGGAACTTCCTATGACAAAGACTCCTGAGGATCTCAAAACACTTATTGGTCTCCTGCGAGTCTCTCTGCAGGCTCACCTTCATGTCAATCATATCATCTTTGCTTGAGCACGCACGCACATTGTCAATAGTCTGGTTATATTCTATCCACATGGCAACTGTTTATCTCCTGCAATTGCAGCTCTATTGAACACATCTATATCATAGATGGACATCCTCGCTTCGCTGTTCGTCGATACCTCCCAGCAGTGTTGAACAGCCCAGATCCTTTCACTCGATGGTCCGACTTTCCTGTCTGAACGTGGTCGATGGAGAGGTCCCAAACACTAGATGAGGTGAAGGTTCAGTGGGTGCTCTCACAGTTCGCTGAATATGCTATTTCCAAGGATTATGTCGTTGTATTAGAACTAAATGAGGTAGATATTGCCCATCTTCCTACTTGGGCCACTCACTCACATCTGTCCAAGATGTAACCTTTTGATGTGGTTTCATTTTGATCTATACCCATTGGAACTAGTGCCATGAACCGTACATGATTCTCTCCTGCTGTCTCTTCGCGACTCACTGATGATGCTGCTCAGGAGACGAAGATTCTCTGCCTCCTCACTGCTCTCGCATGTTGCCTTCATCAACGCTTCGACTGTGAAAGCAAAATTATCACCCTTGCCACAACAATTCTGAAAGAAAGTCATCGCATTGCTGCCGGCACAACAGATGGCCACGTCTGTTGCTTTGTGTGAGCTGAAGCAACGAGGACACCGAATATTGAATCGCAGATGTGAGCAAAGAATGTGAACTCACCGATTAGTGTCCATGACTTTGCATGCCATGGAGAACTTCTGCTTTGAGCAAAACCGTCCAACATAGCTATCTCAGCGGTCAATAACGTTGAGACATGGACGCGTCAGTCTTCGTGGGAGATCCATCGAACAGTCCTAGCAGTCAACACCAGCATGATTAGAGGGGACAAGCTTAGGCACAATCACGTTGGTCAACACTGACGCGATTAGATGAAAAACAGTATATATGTATATCTCAGCTGACTCTGATGGAACTATATATAGCTAACATGCTTAGGTGCTCCCCATGGAAAATGCAGCTCTTACATTCAAAATGTCAACGCTCATCGCATCGCATCCCGTCCTGCTGTCCGTTCACGCTTTCCCCTGGCTCACGATCACATCGGTGTTGACCAGTGTGATGCATTACCTCTACTTCATCGCGATCGCATCGGTGTTGACTGCTGTGGCATAACTGCACGTCCTTCAGTCTCCTGTATATCGGTGTTAACAGTCAAAGGCATTATACCGGACAGTAGCCAGTGTACACGTGTGTACACCGACCCATCTACAATAGATGTCACTCATTTTTCATACAGATCATGCCGCTTTCAGTCTTCATCTTTGAGGGCCAGCTGTACTCATCACCAACGTGTACCTCATTTCCTGTCCATGGTGTACCACCTCAACAGCACGATCCCTTGAGCTCGTCCACATGGCGGCAATGCATGTGGAGGCTAAAGCACTATCTGGAGCTAGCCTTTTACCCAGTTTCTAAGCAGCTCGTAGGCACAATTTTCCGCTATCTTCGCTTCTGCCCCGAAAAGGACATCCCGCTGGAGTGGCAATCTCGTCCAAGCGGCAGATTGCAGTGCCGTGTCACTCACGCGATGGATTGTGCTTGCAATATTACTGCAGGAAGGACCGTGCAGCAAATGAGCTCTTTGTGTTGTTAGTAGTCATGCACTGTGGATTAGAATCGGACTTCTTTGCATGCAATGTAACATTTCATTTTTGTCTATGCATACGAGTAATAATCTCTCTAGCATCATGATTATCGACAATCCCACGCCCGTGACAGCTACGAAGATCGGCCACGCCTTAGCCATCTTTGGGTTGAGCGGTGGAATGATCGCACGCTCTGCGATCAGTCGGCATACCACTGAGCGGCCGATGACCGACTTTTGAGTGGTCGCAAAATCGGCCGATGAGCGGAAAATTGAACAACATTTGAGATTTAGTTCCAGCAAACATTCGAGTAAACATCACTGCAGTTCCCGTAGTTTTTCTCTCGGTGGACAGTTCGAACCTTAACCCAAGACAACAATTCAGATTTTATCACTGATTTTACCGAGGATACCATTTCTATTCTTAGTCGGTTTGCCTTTTGTGATATTGTTTCTGCTGCCAACTTAGCTGAGCTGTTGAACTGTCAGCCAAATCAGAAGAGTTAATAAGATAAGAACTGTTCTATCAAGTCCTATCTAGGAAACAGCTGAGATGTCCTCCTAGAGATATTATCGTAGAACATTTCATATGTTTATTCAAATTCTGTCACTACATTTGTCGCGGATCAAATGACAAAACTCCCGATGTGATTCTGACCCTGACCTGGGAGAAACCTTGCAGTCGCAAGGTAAATCCGATTTTTGCGCGCTTGGTAAGCATCAACGAATGATGAGGTGAGGGACCACCACGTGACTGTGAGGTGGTTCGACAAAAGAGGCGGCACAAGAGTGTTCGTTCATACTTGCGCCTCATCTTGGGCTATAATCTGCCCGCAAACATGGACTCGGACGATTTGTTCTCTTTTTTGCAGCCTTCTGCGACAGAACCTGTTTCTGGTCAGTATATGGCCGACATGGAGGCCACGACTGGTCCATCAGAGAATGCGCGCAAGCGCAAGGCGAGCTCTCCACCTCCTTCCTCCCCGTTGCCAATTAATGTGAACGTATCTTCAATATCCGACATTCCTGCGAGCGGTTCTTCTCAGAAAAAGCTGCGCCAGGCTTCACCGAATCCAATTGTGCTAGATGAAGTTGAGATAGAAGCGAAGCAAGATGTCACCGCCAGTGGAGGTTTCCAAGGGGCAGTTGATGAGGGCTCATGGATTCAGATCCGCCATCAGGTGCTCGTCTTCTCCTCACATTTCCCATATCAGAACTAATATTGGTATGCGATTAGGTCCGCCATCAAGTCGCGGTTCCTCCAGGATATTCATACATCCCTATTGCCGAACACGTACCCCCTATCAAACCGGCTCGGGAATACAAGTTCACCTTGGATCCATTTCAGCAAGTATCGGTGTCGGCCATCGAGCGTAACGAGAGCGTCCTCGTTTCTGCACATACTAGTGCTGGCAAGACGGTGGTCGCTGAGTACGCTATCGCCCAGTGTCTCCAGAATAAGCAAAGGGTCATTTATACTAGTCCAATAAAGGTCAACTGGCTAAGCACTTCGTTCGCCTTTGCGATTTTAACGTGATTTTGTAGGCATTGAGCAATCAGAAGTATCGAGATCTACAAGCCGAGTTCGGAGATGTAGGCTTGATGACTGGCGATATTACCATAAATCCATCTGCTTCATGTCTCGTTATGACGACTGAGGTATAGTGACAACTCCTTAGTGAGACCCTCATGCTAACCGCTTGGCAGATCCTACGATCCATGCTGTATCGGGGCTCCGAGATAATGCGCGAGGTTGCTTGGGTCATATTCGACGAGATACATTACATGCGCGATAAGGAGCGTGGCGTCGTTTGGGAGGAGACTATCATCCTTCTCCCAGATAACGTGCGCTACGTTTTCCTCTCAGCGACCATTCCAAACGCTATGCAGTTCGCAGAATGGATCTGCAAGTCGCACGATCAGCCATGCCACGTTGTATACACAGATTTCCGTCCCACTCCTCTTCAGCACTACCTCTTCCCCTCCGGTGGTAAAGGAATCTACCTTGTGGTGAACGAGAAGGGAGAGTTTCGAGAAGATAATTTCAATACCGCCATGGGGATGATACAGCAACGGCAGGGCGAGGATCCTGCTGATCCTAGAGGCGGAAAGTCTCGGAAAGGGAAGTCTCGGAAAGGGAGCGAGAAAAGGGGTGAGAAGCACGTGCATACATTATGTCTTGCTGTCTGACGCAGATTCAGAGCCCACAGATACACAGAAGATTGTGCAAACGATCATGACCAAGCATTACGATCCTGTCATCGTCTTTGCCTTCAGCAAGCGAGAATGCGAGGGGCTCGCACTCACGATGTCGAAATTCGACCTGAACAATACCAAAGAGCAGGAAAGTGTGGCCACCGTTTTCGCAAATGCTGTTGATGTCCTGTCTACAGATGATCGTGCATTGCCGCAGATCACAAACATCCTCCCACTGCTTCGTCGTGGCATTGGAATCCACCACGGAGGACTTCTTCCGATTCTGAAGGAGGTCGTGGAGTTGCTTTTCCAAGACGGCCTGATCAAAGTTCTCTTTGCAACGGAAACGTTCTCCATAGGCCTCAACATGCCCGCCAAGACTGTCGTCTTCACGGCTGTACGCAAGTTTGATGGGCATGAATTCCGTAACATCTCATCTGGCGAATACATACAAATGTCGGGACGCGCTGGTCGTCGAGGACTGGACGATCGTGGTATCGTCATCTTGATGTGCGACGAGAAGCTCGAGCCCGCGGATACCAAAAACATGATCAAAGGTCAAGCAGATCGCTTGGATTCTGCCTTTCATCTTGGGTATAATATGATTTTGAACCTGATGAAGGTGGAGGGTATCAGTCCGGAGTACATGCTGGACCGAAGCTTTTTACAGTTTCAGAGCTGTGCTCGGGTACCGATTCTGGAAGAAGGTATGGATACCCTAGTGGATTAAAGTGGTATTCTAACGTTGCAACAGAGCTACAGAAGGAATACGATCGGAAGGACACGATGACCATACTGGACGAGCCGCTAGTGGCAGAGTACTATGAGTACAGGCAGCAATTGGACCAGCTGGCTGCTGATTTCAGAGCTGTGATCACGCATCCCACTTATAGCATACCTTTCCTCCAGCCAGGACGACTGGTGAAGGTCAAGCATAAGCAAGACGATTTTGATTGGGGAGTCGTCATCAACTATCAGAAGCGAACGGTGGGGCCATTTCCTTCCCATCACCTTTTTGTAACACGTTCTCATATCTCACTGCCGCAGAACCAATCGGGACGCACCTTCGAGGAACTGCCTGCTCACGAACAATACATCGTCGATGTTCTTCTTACTTGTGATGACGGGTCAGAGGTATCAAAGGATCGCACGGCGCTGTCCATTTCCAGCCGCGTTCGACCTACACGCCCTGGTCGTTGTGGTGTGCCATTGGTGGTGCCAGTGTTGCTCTCCACGTTGGACTCTATCAGCAGATTGCGTATCTATCTGCCGAAGGACTTAAGGTCGTTACAAGCCCGAGAATCTGTCTACAAGAGCATTCAGGAGGTTCACCGAAGATTCCCCGATGGGATTCCTCTTCTTGATCCGATTGGCGACATGCAAATTACCGACGAGAAGTTTAAGATTCTAGTGAAGGTGGGACATTCCAGCTCTTAGCTAAGGCGGAGACGAAGCTCATTGCTGTCACTAGAAAATTCATGCCATGGAGGGCAGATTATACTCTAGCAAGCTTCACGGTGATAGCCGTCTTCCAGACTTGTACACTCTCTATGCCGGGAAGGTGCAATGCCAAGAGCGCATTCGCGAGCTGAAGAAGAATATACAAGCCACAAGGGACGTTGTACAGATGGAAGAACTGAAGAGTCGCAAACGCGTGCTGCGTCGTCTTGGATTCATTACGTCATCCGACACTGTTGACACGAAGGGTCGTGTTGCATGCGAAATCAGCACCGGCGATGAAATACTACTTACAGAGCTCATTTTCAATGGCGTTTTCAACACTTTATCTCCGGAGCAATGTGCCGGTTTGTTGAGTTGTTTTGTGTTTACGGAAAAGGTACGATGACCACCCTCGACAATCCGCTCCAGTACTTACACCGTTATCACCTAGAGCGAACAGGTCACGAAGCTCGGACAGGAGTTGGCACAGCCGCTTCGTGTCATGCAGGAGATTGCGCGACGTATCGCAAAAGTATCTATCGAATCCAAGCTTACCATGGTTGAAGACGAATATGTACAGTCCTTCAAGGTAGAGCTCATGGATGCGGTGGTACAATGGTGCCGTGGTGCTTCTTTTGCGGAGATTTGCAAGGTGCGTTGGACGTGAAAATTGCAATTTTTGTTCTGAACAACTCTGTTAGCTCACCGACCAATTCGAGGGTAACATCATCCGCGTGTTCCGACGCCTACAGGAGCTGATCCGGCAAATGAGCCAAGCAGCCAAAGCCATCGGCAACCTTGAACTCGAGGAGAAGTTTGGGAAAGCATCGGAGATGCTGGAGCGGCCCAATTCTGTTATCTTCTGTTCCTCTTTGTATCTGTAGGCTCGCTGAGTTAGTAATGAGATTGCTCCCGCTGCAGCTCTCATCAGCTGTAGCTGCGTTCCTCTACGTTAGCGCAATCGGTGTGAAAGCTGTGTGGGGATGTGCCCGACTGCACCGTTATGATGAAGTTGTGGTCAAACAAAATATGTCATGCTGCCTGCCCTCGTTGACATGCCTCGAAATGATGACTTGCCCTGACCTTGCAACTACTGACAGCTATTGTGAGGCGATACCGGTCCATTCGCACATTCCGTGAGACTATGAACTGGATCTGCATTGTCCTCTTTCGAATCTCGCTGCACAGCTCCTATTGATCCATTGCAATCGTAAGTACCGACATCTACAGGTCTTCCTCCTTTTAGGCGAAGAGGATGACAACAATACTCTGTAGCTTGCCATCAAATGGCCAAACTGAGAGCATCAGTCAATATTGGACCGACGTAACTATGATAAGGACGAAGGATGCACATACCTCGTGCCACAATCAGTAGTAGATGTTCTTGTCCGTCGAGTCGCATCAGGAAACTCAACGGCTCATGATGCTTCTATTATTCGCTTGCCGTCACCAAGAAACACAATAAGTCCGAGAAAGTCTCAGTGATCTATCTTTTTGAACTTTTCTCCAGCTTGAGAGCTTCATGTCGTGCGCCTATTGGCTTGTACAAGCCAAAACAGGCGAGAACAAGTCAAAATTTCCTGGTGTCAGCGACGCAGGGCCTGAGGCAAAGTCGTCCAAGCGCATGCACGCGGCCGTACACTGCGCGCGTCTTTCCCAAGAACACGCGAACAGCTCTGCGCTCCGCTCCATTACTCACGGTTGCGGAACTCGCTGAGCACGTCATGCGCAATGCAGAAGTCGGAGATTGCGGAGGTGCGCGCGGATGCGACTTTGGTTGGGGTATTTTGGACCGAACCTCCTCCCAAAAGGATGCAGTAGGCTGGGGTCGATTTGTGATCGAACCTCCAAAAAATCAATCGTGAAACAACCGTAAGAAGTGCTCTGAAAATGTAATGCTCGCTAGTGTTGCACTCGAGGGTGATAGTATCGAGAGCACAAAGGATGTCCTGAATCTGGGACCCGAAGAACTGGGCCACAGTTCCAGGGAGGGAAGAGTAGCCTCGACTCTGCCATTATCCTTGTTATGTTCCCCTCCTCCTCCTCCTTTGTCATAACTAGCTGTGTTCCCTCAACGAGGGACCTAAGTTCGTAGTATACTCGACCTGTCCCGGGGTCGGGCGCGCGACGTCGTGGATGGCCGGCTTGAACGAGCCCTGAGTGCCCAGAAGCTCCTCCGTGCCCATGCAAGATGCACGGCTTCGTGCAGAGCGAGCGCTGCGACAGATGCACAGAACGCGGTGTAGTTCAAGGTGCCGGATGCTTTTTTGGACGCCAGCGGGATAGGTTCGATGCTGTGTGCACCTACAGCCCGTGGCTAGACGACACGATTGGGCACAGTCCGAACTTCGCGAGGCCGTCAAAGACACATATTGACGGATTGCCAGTGAGCGTGCCCGCAATGTATGACAATTGAGGGAGGTCTGGAACGATGTTGTCAGAAAGTGTGGCGAGATCAGATCAGCCTTCTGTTAGAGCAGATCTGCGGGCAGCAGACGGCACAGCCAGTGCATCTGTCACCATCACCATGCAGTGCTCTCTTGACCAGCACATTCTGCTCTGCCTAAGGGACCTGCTCTGGTTGTCTCCCCTAGGCAGGCCTCTTAAATTGCCTAAGTTTCTTGAGGGAGCAACGACAGGCGATATAAATACTGCTCTGATGGAAGAAGACCATAGCGTTCACGTCCTGCCAGTGACGCTGAAATGCTGCCGCGAAAGGTACCAGTGGTGTCGGATCTTTTCCCGAAGAAGAGAACCCGTCTTCTACGATCATCTCCCATCTGACGCACGAGTGCCCAGGAACGAGAAAGTTCATTGGCACCTCGGATACAGGCTTTCGGCATGCTTGCAGAGGCAAAATGTCCATTTGCGACGGCAGAATGGCAACATCTTGATGCCGGAATCGCAGTTTCGAGCATGATACAGTCATTTGCGCGGCGCGGGTATCGGCCAGGCACTCGGAGTCGGATCAATAGTCTTGTTACTCGTACTACTAGCGCGGGTGGTGAGTGCCGCTCCCATGGACTCAGCGCTGTTGCCAAATCTGGTACTGACACCAACTTGGTGTGACACTAGTCTCGGCTTCAACCTTCTTGACAATTACAGCTCGGCTTCTGGGGGCCACATGCAGTGTCTGAAGCAGATTGCGGCGGAGAACGTCGCCTTGCGTTCGACATTTCTGGTCATTCAGATCATCCACAAACCGGCCGAAACGCCCGACGAGAGGCACAACTGAAGATTGCATTTGAGGCGAAAGCCGTTGCACTTCCATTTCTTAGATGAATTCTCAATTATAACAGAATGAGGCACGCTACCACACTTATTGAGCCCAGCACATCAAGATACTTGTCAATCCGTGTTATGCTAATGGCACAAATGAAGATGAGCGCGCCGCCGCCACCGCCAACGTGCAGAAACAAAGGGAACATCAAGCTAAGAGGTTGGGGAGAGCATTCGCACCCGCGTCTGTCCAAGCCTGGTGGTTTATTTCTTCCAGCGCATCGAACGATATTTCGGACATGTTCTCTGCGCCATATTCCGGAAGAATGAAGTATTTCATGTGGATATTACCATTTTCAAGGAAATGGGCGTAGAGGTAGCACCGCAGACATAAAGCAATTTGCACATGTGGCAAATGCTTAGCAAATGTCGACAGATTTTTTGCCTTTGTGATCTCAATTTGCTACAGTTCCTTCCCACATTCCATATTAAGTATTTGCATAATAATATGTTAGAGGCAGAAATTCAAAATCATATATTTTAAGAAATGACACCATTTTCAAACTCACCAAATGCATTTAGAATTTGAGCACTGTTGAATGTAATCATACCTTTCAAATTTCAAACTATGACATGTATAAAATATCCAGTAGCAGATGAAGGTGTAATTATGGTGAATGACTTTCATTCTAGTAATCTTGGCTAGAATGACTTCAGTAGGGAAGTAAAATGTAGGCATAATCACCCCTTCATCTGCTACTGGATATTTTATACATGTCATAGTTTGAAATTTCAAAAATGTATAATTACATTCAATAGCACTCAAATTCTAAATGTATTTGGTGAGTTTGAAAATGGTGTCATTTCTTAAATATATGATATTAAATTTCTGCCTCCAACATATAATATGCAAATACTTAATATGGAATGTGGGAAGGAACCGTAGCAAATTGAGATCACAAAGGCAAAAAACCTGTCGACATTTGCTAAGCATTTGCCACATGCGCAAATCGCTTCATGTCTGCAGTGTAGAGGTCCTTGCTGCAAGCAATGTGATGATTACAATGAGGATTGTACATCCCGAAGGCGGAACGTACTGCTTGATGCTGATCCGGAACAGCTCCACCGTATAGGTCATCTCTCCGATAACGATGGGCTGTGCCTCTAGGGTGGTCTTCAGCAACTTTGCAACCATCGACTGCAATGTAGGCAGCGGAGCGGATATAGCTGCTGCCCGCTGACGAAATTGGGCCACGAGGGCTCGAGTTTGCTGTGAAGACATCATTCAATACCACAAGTAATTTAGGAGTCACAAACGTTCAGCGTACCTCAGCAAATGATGGGGTGAGATTGGACATATTGTGTTCACTGTGGTATGAGACGATGAAGAAGGCAAAGATAAGGCCGAGTTGTGAAGAAGTGTGGACAGTTGAGGTAAATGCTTGTGCAGGACCTTGCCTTTTTATAGATCCTGCCCAACCACACGAGGACCCCACAAACCTTTCGACGGAGACAATTAAAGTTCCTCATCTGGGAATGTCACCAACAGAATGAACGAAGGTATTCCATTCGAGTCCACTAGTAGCGGACACCGTGATACCCGATGAGCATCAGTTGGAGAAGAGAAGATGTCACTCGCATCTTTCCGAGTGATCTACCTACCCAGGATTGTGCGCTTGCCCAAGGAGCTAAATGATTTGGAATATTATCAGTGGTAGAATGTATGCATGACCTCCAAGACAACCAATTAAAACCGTTTGAAAATGAAGATGTGATCTCAATAGAACGCAGTCCGCCTGTTCTTGTTTCAGAATTGACCATCTGAGGCTGGAACTCCTCTTGTAATTTATCACGCGGTCGCGATGACATATTGAGGTGCCTGATGACTATAAGGAGATAAGTTATCACGTTGACGAGTAGAATCTCTTTCCACAAGATAACAAACAGACTGGGTCGTTACTCATGGCTGACTGCAGGCATCTACATTTCGACTCATCAGTCAGGATAGCGAACACGAAGGCAAACATAGTGCCGCACTATTTACAATTATAGCAGCTGCAAACCAGTATAAAGAGCTGGGCAGTCGGAAGCAATCTTTGACGCCCTCCGAAAATACCTCACGAGCTCTATTGTCTGTGCTGTTTTGGAAACAGGCTCACCATCATTCATCACTGCTAATTTACGGCATCAGGAATGCGGAATGCTCAGAAGGTATATAGACTGACCTAGAATGATTTCCTCCACGAGGTCTGCTTTCCTCATCACTGCCATTGCGCAAACATCGGATGATGAAACACTCTGAGGAATGCAGATAGATCATTTCCATGAGGTTCACTCTCCTCAGCAATATCCACCACTGCCGCAATTGCTGTTATGTGTGCATCAGACAACATGTGGAACCATCATGAGAATGCAGACTAGACCTATAGTAGCAATTACAACAGCAAGTCGTACTCGCATGAGGTTTTGCCATCATGGAATTGTTCCGGAGCCCAATGGACATGTGCACACCATGCTCTGTCAGCACCCGATGCTACTCACGTGATATCTATTTTTTGGAATACTATCTATATCTCTATCCCGCGCGCTATGACTATGACAGACGGCGGCATGTAGAGCTACGGTGGCATTGGGCGAAATGCGGAGGACGGATAGGGAGCGGGGGCTGGTAGACTAGTCGGTAGTGTACTCATGGAGTAGGGCCACTGCGAGTCCGTGGCAGTAAGAAGAATCATAGGAAAAGGAACGACTTACCCGGCATCAGTGGCAGTCGATGGGGCTGTCTTCCAACGCAGAAGTCTTCGCATAAAAGGACGCGAAGGCGCGGAGGCCCTTTGGGGTGGATAAGACATGTTGCGAGATTATAAGGGCAACATTTCACGTAGGACATGGTGAGGATGGGCATGGCGTGGGCGTTCGATGAGGATATGCGCGCGTATCTCGAGGGTGAGTGGGTCGCACGGGGAGGAGGCTGACTTGATGGGCGCAAAACGACGGTAATACTCACCATAGTGTGCATCGACAACATCAGCAAAAACCCAGAAAGATGGTCTATGAATACCTAGGTAGATAAAGCTCACCTTCCCGGCCAACGCCACCTGCGGAGGTGACCGACTATCTGGCTTCTGGTCGCCCTTGTGGTTGGTCACCTTTCCAGACAAGGGTGACGGATTCCCACGACCAGCGGGCAAGCGGACGCTATCCGACAACCTCCTGGCAATGCCTTGCAGCCCATGGCAGTCCTGGAGTCCTCTGGGGTGCTCTGGGCTGAATTAGCCATACTTGCAAGTGATGACAGTAGTGTATAAACGAAGCAAATATATTTTTCTATTTGCTATAGTATCACATAAAGGCTGCGAGAAGTCACTAATACCTTCCGATTGAGCACATCTTGGATAAGTCAACTTTGAGTGGCCAATGCTCATGTCAGCTTTATGGCCGGATCCTCCGGCGAGCATCGCAGAGAGGGAAGCTACAAGCGTATATTGTTTGAGATATACCTTCGATGAAATAATCGAGAAGACTTACCGAAACCCATGGTACAATTGGATATACGCACGTAACAGCTATGCGAGGCATGTGAGTAACAGAATCAACCCGTAAAGTGGAACGCGCTTCACCTTTACCGATTACGCGTTACCGCATTCGTCCTGCACAGCACCCCTTGCTCAACCATTCCACTAACCTCCGGCGCGTTTTGCGCCGAACACTTCCTTTGACGATGGCGCAAAAGATGGCAAACGAGACGATTCAGGGATAGCCACGAGACTACTACCGCCCGATCGAATAATTGCGCTCAACAGCGTGCTAGTGCCATTCGAGCTGAGCAAACCTTTGGCCTTCGGTTCTCTACCAACCTTGGACAGATTGTCGCGATTGCCGCTGCCAAACTTGCTCCGTGGATGTCCGGGATTGAGAAGGTGCTTGTTGAACTGAAAGGTTCGCCACATGTCCGATTGGTGGTTCTTCTTATGCTCGGAATCGACGGCATTGAGCTCGCGAGAGGTGCAGGATGGCACAAAGAGTAGACAATGAAGAACGCGGCGAACCGAGAAAGTGCACCTGGGAGGGCATCGGTCGAGACACTAACAGAGTAGTTTGTGTGGGGGTGCCCGTGAATGCATTAGAGTTGCCGTCGCTTTTGGCTAAGTAGCTGTATGCGGGTTCAGAGAGAAGGCAGCAACGCTGGACCCGAACGTACCTCCGAGTACTCGCTCTCCCGGGCGTACTGCTCTGTACCCTGTGAATCACATGAGCATCGATCTAGCTGTATCCCGCTGTTCTGTTCGTGTGATTCACAAAGAATAGCAGGTGCTCACAGAAGTGTGCAAGCCCCGACATGTCTTCCTACAGCCGTACATGTCCATTTGTGCATGTCGAGATGTCCTGACCGGCGCGGTCATCACGTACCCCTAGCAGACTTATAAGTTGAGACTTGTAAGTTCAGCTGTTATTGGTGAAACGCATCAACGCCTCTGCAACGGCGCCCGGCCCTCCGGGTACGAGCTCGACGTGATTAGACTGCACACGCGGGCAGCGATCGTCAATCACGCCGCACTCACGATGAGGACATACCTTCATAGCGCCTTCTTCGAGTAGACCGGAAAGCACCTTAAATAAGCTCGACGCGATAACCCGATTCTCCTCACGCACATATCCTGACGCGAAAACCTTCACCGCGTGCTTCCGCTCGTCTGACTTAACCTCGATCTTCAGCTGCAGCACGAGCAAGAGAGTCCCTCCCGGAGCGAGGATGTCGTATGCCTCCTGCTGCGCCTGCGGGAATGGCACGGCATCGAACATCAGCTCGAGCGGTGCAGAGGTAATCTTTGCGATCTCGGCGAGCAGAGAGGACGGCGGGACGTGCCGATCGAAAAAAGTGCGTTGCGCCGAGGGGGAGAAGAAGGGGCGCATTGTGCGGGGAGGCAGTGGCTACGATTGGGGCAAAACCGGCAAGTTTCGCGAACTGAACGACTACGAAGGGGATGCAAGCCCACGAAAGGTTAGATGAGAAAAGGCCATAATCGGATGCACGCACTGTACTGTTCCACAGATCCAGACGCACCAAGTATGAGAAATGGCTGCCCCGCATACTTCCAATGCCCGCCCGCCTCAGCCCGCGCTGTGGCAAGTACTCAGAACGAGCACAGCTATCGTACCCACCTGCCTGCCTTCATGCATGGGTGATGTGGATGGCTTCTGTTCTTTGAGGGGAGGGGAACAGGATGAGGTTTTCTTCGACGGCTCTGTATTCGAAAAGCGGTGGCACACAAGCGCATATGTGCAACTCTGGAGTCAAATTAACATCAATGTGAGTTGAATGGCATGAAAATCGAATATATGCGCATGAGTCACTGAATGAAGCGGAAACGACTGGTAATCATGCATGCTTGATCTCGATCTACGAGTCCGAGCTGCTACATCGCCGTAGCTCAAATCCTCGCTCAACAAATCGTTGTCGAGGGACGAAGCCAAACACCGCTCGAACTGGTTGCACGCTTATTCTTGCCGAAATCGTGGGCCAATCTTGATCAGGCTGTCGTCTGCAATGATCGAGTGAAGGATGCTGGATGTAGGCTTGGGATGTTGTGAGATGTGCATGATTGGCATGATGATGACGACTTCATTGAGGTTATCGGGGAATTTGTGAAAACGTTTCTAGCAACATGCAAGTACAGAGATGAGGTTACCATCGTTCACGCAATCTCCAGCAAGAGAAAGCCTGTGTACTACTTGGATGGTCGATTACGCTTAAAAAGGATATCTCCTTCACTTTGCGACTCGGTTGTTCCAATGCTAAGCTCCATCATGATCTTCTTTGGCGAGCGCACCGTCAAATACCGTACACACCGAGGTCAAGACGATTACCATGATCACAGCTCATCACCTCCCACATCTCTCAACACAAGCGGGCGCACCATGCGGTTCCAATTTTGCGCCCATGTCGACCATTGCCATGTCTCTCCGTCATTCCCGCCCACCTGGCCTTCCTTGAACGTCGATGGCACATGGTCCGACGGCGGGAGCGGCGCAGAGTGCATCAGCGATGCTCGGAGTAATTCAAGTGAGGGAGAATTAGGATGCAACGAGAAGAGACTCTGAACGAGAACGAAAATGAGCGCACTAATGACGGTCAAGGGACACTGTGCGCACCTCCAGTTGTCCGGCGAGCTGCTGATCATTGTGGAAGACCAGCCCGTTCACTCCGTCCAGCACGAGTTCATCTAAGCTAGAGATGAATGAGCCACTAATGCTGATCACAACGCAATGGAGACTCGCCATGCAAAGCCCAGCGCGCAGACCGGGAGTTCGCAACCGAACATGTCGACAACCTTCATCGGCAAGTCCAGCGCAGAGGAACTCGAGTGCAGGGAGACTCCCAGGTCAGCCGATCCTACAGGCAGGTCAGAAACCCGCCCCCCTCTCGTTATGGAAGTCTACGTACCGAGCAGAATTGGGTAATCCTCCGCCTCGAGCCACATGGTCACACATCGCACAAACTGCCATGGGCTCTCGTCTTCTGCCCCATCCTGCAACTGCCCGATCCTCTGCATGTATGTATCCCGGAGGGGACCCTTCCCTGTTACGATCACGAGCAATTTCGGCAGCGCGCACCGGTTATTCTCTGTTGATCCCACGCTCCCTTCGTGCTCCTGACTGAGTATCCGAGCACGCTTCTCGTACATCACCAACGCATCTATCAAGATACCGAAATCCTCATCTGGCGTCCACGAAGTGCTCGAGACAACAAGAGCGGGCCGATCCGAGCGCAGTGTTGCCATAGGCGCTGCGTCCATCGCTAACGGGTCTGTATCTACGTCTGACAGGATCGGCTCAGGGTCGAGACTGAGGGAGCCTGTGGTGTCGTGACAGGGACGAGAGGGCTCTGAGGAAGAGACTGAAGGACTTGCTAGTGAGGTGAAAGGAGTGGAGTACGGAGGGTTACTAGGTGGAAGGAAAGACGTTAAGGTGGGCACTGCGAGAGAAGGGCGCAAGCGAAGGAAGAGTTCGTGCGTTTCAGTGGGCGAGGCGCGGTGGAATCGTGCAGGTGGCCGGTCATGTAGTACTACCTTGTGTCCTCTGGCAACGAAGGTAAGCGATAAGATGATTCTTTGCCAATAGAGACATTTACTGTAGGTGCCATTCCTTCACGAGAAAGTCACGCATGGCTCGCGTGACGAATAGGTGAGCATACGCTGAGCGTCCGAAGTACGCTTCAAACCTGGAAGTCACATCTTCATAAAGCGGAACGACAGGTCAAGCAACAGAATGCCTACGCCTTTGCAACTTTCACTAGAATGTGGCGTTCACCAAGTTTCAGCGCGAGGATACTGTATCCCAGATTGTGCCAGTCGATAATGACCTTACTTCCTCTCAGCCTTGCCACAAGCCACACGAGAGCAAGGGTTGGAATGCTTGGCGGATTCTTTCTTTCGAAATCATTATGTCTCTTCAGACCAATCTGCAGGATGAACGAGGAAGACACGAACCTGCACCAAGATGAACTCCGGAGGGTGGGGAATGTGGTATAGAAGCGTATCCATGATGCTCATGACCTGGTGGAATATTTTGCACGGTGCAGCCAATATGAATGGAATGTCCGAGAGGTACGCCGGTGGATTAGACAAATAGAGGAAATGCACGTGCGGCAGTGAAAGGAGAGACGGGACAGGTTTTGCGCCTGCGCATCGGTTGTTAAGAGAGCACACATAGAGTTCAAGATACACTCACCTCTATATCCTATAAGGTATGTTTCGAACCCGTTGGTGGCAAAACTCTCCGCATGATACATCATGCGAGGACTGCGGCCAATGTCACCGAGAACGAGTATGGCGACCGACCGCAACAACGGCCGCTCTCGCGGCTTGAAGTAGAACCATACCAGGCCCGCAACGACGACAGCTATGGCTATCTGAAAGAGAGATTTTGTGAACGTGTCCATGTCCTATCACGGCTTGCGACTGCGGTTCACTAGGCTTAGGTTCGATGTCACTGCGGGTGGCTGCGAATATGCCTCAGGGTGGCATGTGGCACGTGGCGCACTCGATCTCTTGATGGCGCATCAGCGCCTGTGAACGTCCGCTCTGCCCGCCGCCCCTGCAGGCGACTAGGATCTGGCCGCAATACCTGCTACCTCTGGCCAGAGTAGTAAACAGGCCCTCGGAAATAGGTTGAATGGCCTCTATTCGCGTAACGTTGTAATCCATCCCTCTAGAGGTGCCCGAGGCACGGCTGTCTGTGGCCACAGAAGAACCATTATTATATTTATCCGCACAATCGTGTGTCTGTGGCACTTTATCACGGAGTTATTGAGTAAAAACCTCGGTTCTGTTACTCTGAGCCAAGAAAATGGCTGATCTCCTGCATTTTTAACCGCAAATTCGTGCAATCCAGGTGAGCTGCTGGCCGCCAATAAAAGGAACTGGTGCTGATTATCCCAATCTATCATCAGCTCATCCGATTATCCGCGAACCATTGTTGTGTGACAGGACGTCACTATCTGACGGAAAATATAACACACCCCAAACTCCGCAAGACAAGGGATACGCAACACAGCGATGATCCTGCTGAATGCATGATAAAATCCCCAGTGGTGAAGAGTAAAGGAGCCACTGACCTACATACGGTGAAACTGCTCAAGGATAATACAGTGATAACGCCAAAAAATAACCGATGGCCCGGCCGCTGTTGCTTCCGCGAAGGTGAGACATCTTGGCCCGAGTGGCACATCATGTGGGTTGCCTTGATCCGGCGAACACGAGGCGTTTTGGCCACTTTCTTCAATCCTTTATATTTCCGCCCACTTGTGAGCCACCCTGGTGCGGTCGTTCTGTTCCATTCTGTGGCCTGCAACTTGCAATCAGCTCTCGTCCACTAACTCTTTCCTGTCGTCTTCTCGCGTGTCTCGTTGAGCTCTGTACGTCCGTCGCAGGTATTCGCTGACATACCCGCATTTGGCTAACGTTCCCGTTCGTAAAGTTCTCATTCCACTCAGCAAAATCTTCCAACATGCCTGTCGCCAGCGCACAAGAGGTGGATCGTTTTCTGGACGGAGTCTTAGCATATGTGAGAAGCCTTGAGAGTGCTTCTGCTAGCTACGCATCGCTGACCTCGTACCCGCCTTCGTTGCCCATCCCCCTCCGCCGCCACATTCCTCTTAACTCGCAACCCCTCCAGTCCATTCAAAACATCCAGCTCGCCAATAGAGAAGGTTCCACTGCAACGAACGGCGTGCAACCTACCGACGTGCTATCTACCACCGTGCAGCAAACTCGCCACACGTCTCGTCCTCGGGCCTCACACGACAACAACCTCAACGACCATGGACCCCGTCTACAGGGGATGACTAGAGCCGCTCTCGAAGCCAAGGCACGCAATACTGCGAGGCGTTTTGTATTGCTCGGAAGCGTTGCTGCGGCCTCGGGTGTACGGGTGGATCCTCCCACCTTATCTGGCTTTTCTCCAGTGAATGTCATCCCGCCGCTCGAAGAAGACTCTCTCCGAGAGCACGGTTACGCCACATACGGAGGACCGCATGCAAGGCCTCCTGTTACTATAGATGACTGCTATAGTTCCATAATCCCACCGTGGCGCACAATGCAGGGACCCTACGTTACGACATATCAGGGCCGTCCTCTGGAAGCCATGTCTGGAGCTCGTAGGTCCCCCGTGGGAACGATCATTACCATCCCCCCGTTCCCGGACGTCCCACAAGCCAGCTCCGGCGAACAGGAAATCGGTGGCGGCAAGCCTCTCGTCGACCGCATAGGAGCGGCCCTTCCCTCTGCGCTTCGCTCTCCGCGTAAGCACCAGCGCAAGGGATTCAAGAAAGATAGTTCCCCTTCAAAGCCTAAGTCTGCGCGTCGTGTCCACTTTAATGTAGATGGAGAGCAACCTATGTCATCCCCCGGGCGTCCAAGTAGCTCTAAGCGCTACCCCCAAGAGCACTATCCCAAGCGAAAGGATGCCAATGACAGTCCTTCGCATCGTGGGCAGCGACAGCGCGACCGCCGCCCTGGATATATGGTCTCTCGTGACAAGAGGCATCCTAATGTCCGCAATGACGAAGTCCCTCATCATCATCAGTCTTTCCCATCAAACGGGCATGCGGATTACGACAAAACCCCAGGCGACTATGAAGGAAGCAGTTCCTCACAACAATCTTGGCCTTCAACGTCGACCCAGGAATACAGCTACCACGAGCAGCTCTATAGCTACGAATCCTACTCTAGTCGCTCATCTGATGGGTACCCCTGCAACGACTCCTGATTCGGAGGTATGAATTTTTTCTCTTCATCGACAAAGGCTTGCACCGACTCCATGTTTGTATCTTTGCAGCATCAACATTATCACATAGCACACGGAGCATAGATAAGCTCATGAAAAATGTCAGGATGTATGTTTAACTGGTAGTCAGAAGAGAATGTGTTTGCCAGATTTGGATTGATATCTCGGTGAATTTATGTTTTGGCATTAATGACCACTTTGTGTTTTGCGTGCCGTCCTGTCGATCTGATGGTATATGTTTGACCAGCATGGTATATGTGGACATCCATGCTGAATGCAAGTTTCTGTGAAGTCCGTTTAAAGACATGAGGGTAGCCCCGTCACTGATGTTGAGTCGTTGACAATCTTTCCATGCTGCTAATAGGTATAAAAGAAATGAATAAGACGTCCGTCGAAGTGACACATCTGCTATTGAGTCATAATCTACATGCGCAGCTTCTTCTCCATCTCTGCATGAATGTCCAACGGTTGTGATAGCTCCGATGCTGTACACAGGATCAATGAGCACCAGGCATCGGTAAAGATGAAATAGTGCACACCTGGCATCATGAAGTCCGCACAGTCCAACGTCTCGTCACGTCCCATCAAGATATCAAGATGGATATTCGACTGAGGAAGGGCGGGCATGTGGGAGTTCTGTATACGATAGCAGTTGCGACATGAGATAGGCAGCCGTGAGCGGGTGACTGGTTGAGAACTGACCTGTGCGACAATCTTGCGTTCCATAAGCAGTCGCATCGGCATGTGCAAGCCAAACATCTCTCGCTGCATCGTGAGCTTCAGGTTGTCTTGTGTTGCCTCCCACTAGCATTACGGATTGTACGACGTGCGACGGCAATCAGACATGGTAGCTTCAGCAGATGGACAGACATACGTTCTCGAGCCTCTCTCTAGTACCTCCGTTCGCTGTCACTTCCGCAGAAAGGCTTCTAGGACCATATCTGAGCGTGTCGTGCAACCCAAAGCTATTTACCGTGTCCTGAACGGACGCGGTCTTGGACGAGGACGCGGGGACGATGCGATGCGAGGATTCCTGTTGTCATCGTCTCAGCCTGTCAGGTTTGATTGAATAATGTGGCATTCTCATACCATTGCAGCGGAAAAGAATCAAACAGCTTGAGAAGAAGATGGAATCAGGATGCAGTCGAGAGGCAACGCCACTTCAGCTGACGCGTTCTCGCGACGCGTTTACAACGTTCCGCATTAGGCATGTCTGTACAAAATCTCCAGATCTTTGCGAAGGACCCCGGTATATGCTAGCAGACCATATGTTGATGGCTCGATCCGTGATTCTTGTCTACCTTCATGCGTGCGTCGTCATTCAACACATACTTAAATACATCCTAGTTGAACGCATTCCAACAATCGTTTTTACAAGGATCTACGCAATCGTGGTTCTAGAGGTCCTAGCAGGCAGGTGTTTGGGGTTCTATGGCTGAAATCTAAACATCCGTTTCCGTCACATCTGTGCCATCCTTGTGTGACCATTCGTACATCATGACCCTCTCAGGATCTGGGCGGGAAAAGTGGATTACGAGAAGGATGTAGATGTGCAACACACGGTACCAGAATCAACCGCGGCGAATGCTGGAGTCGAATCTCAGCGATTGTGACCGGCATTGGCAAGCAGATTCATCGAAGCACTACTACTGAGTCTCCGACGCGGCATCCTTCCGACAATCAAATCCAATGCACACGGGCAGGACATGTAGACTTTTCGTAGCATTGATGTCACTTTTTGTAGGGCCCGTTGAGTAAGCCCCCCCGCCGCGTTCTGGACTGGTGGCCCATTTTGGAGGTCGACGCCAACTCCACGCTGGTCTACGTCGGGGTCCTCCTCAAGTCATCCGCTGTATGGCCCTCTCGAAAGGCCTCAATATCTAGCAGGGTCTTTGCTATTTCTATAAATCCCATTCCACCGAATTGTTCAACTTTTGCATGCATCGACAGAGGAATATAGTCCGTTCGTCTGGGAAGGGGCCACTTTCACGTTACTCATTCGGAGGACAAATTTATCGTCAACGCTAAGCAAATCCAAGCCACGCTGCAAATTCGGGGCGACACCGGATGCGCCTTCGTTGGCGATCGTCATGACAAGAAAAGCCTCCTGCGTGTGATAATAAAGCACCACCGGAGGTGCGGAGTCGAGCCCCTATCCTCCCTTTCCGTGTATCCGCACATCCGAAGCTGCTGTCTCGATATTAGACGGCAGTTATTTGCTCGTCTACTATCCTCTTCCAGCCCTCCTGGGAACACCTAGACCCGACTCACCTTAGAAAGCTCCCGTGCTCATAATCCCGGCCGTAGTTCTCTATCAATGGACTCAAAATCGGATGCATATGTCATGACCGCATTCAGGATGTTTCGCAACTATTCTAGGCGCATTATAATTGTGGTTCCGATCGCGCTCCTGTGTATGCTCTCTACTGCAATGCTTGCATTTCATCCAGGAAGACCGGACAACGGACCTCGCTTGCGCTGGGTCAAGGAAGGTTCCGACCTGGCGAATGCTCAGAATACATTTCATGCATCAGACCTTGGCGACCCTGAATACCTGAAGCACGAAAACTACTTGCGATCGCCGCCTACAGCGCATTTCCGAGGTATTTGCAGCCGATTGCTGGACTGTAGATCGGAGGTAACACATGAATATGTAGACAGTCTCAGATCCGATAGGAAATATCTGACGTCCTGGCTATCTGCGGGTTGGAGTGAGTATCGAATTGGGTCATCTTTGCATTGGGAATCTAACTATCAATCCTGACGCTTCCACAGCGAACGATGTCATAACAATTGTGAGTGCACTATTCATTCAACATTATCCCGTTTTGTTCAATCTGTGATCCAGGGGAACCTCATCTATCTCGCACAAATCACGTCTCGTATACCAGTTGTTCCACCCTTCACATCTCACATCGGCGGAGCGAACATTCCCATTTCATTTTCTGAGATCTTCGACGTCCCTCGACTTGCGCATGCGCTGAAAATGCCGATTCTCGAGTGGCAAGATATCAAGAATGTCACACTCTCTGAGAATCTCGGAGAGCGAGATGAGCTTGGCTGCTGGAATATTTGGGAAGTCGACAACGTCCCCGCAGACGGCCCTCGGGGAAGCTATACTACGGGCTTGCTCAATCTAGGTAAGTCTCGGGATTTTTACTTCAAGGATTTGACGTGTGATGGACTTGACATCCGTTAGATATATCATATACTCGGGCCCCTCAGTGGGTCAAGCTAATGCCCGGCTTTGTACACGATTCACATTCGAGATTCTGGTCGCTAGCGCGACTAGCCTTCCCAGAGTCGCGTGAAACTAATCTGAAAGACCCGGTTTCTCATCCGACTCTACCGTCAGAACATCACGGAGTGGTACTCCCACCTGACGAACAGCTCTTATGTTATGACTATTTGTACTACGTGGCAGGTGACACAGTGAGTCAATAGTAGCTCAATGTCTTCCAGAGAGGGATAAGCTAATAGAAATCCGCCGTAGCCGTTTGAGATTGAGTATGATTACAGCCCGGTGTGGAGGTTCGTCGCGAAGCACTTTCGGTGGACACAGTCCTTGGAAGAGCTCGCAGGGGACATTATGAGGCGCACTATGAGCGTACCCAAAGGGAAGGCCGTCCCTCCTGTAAGTGACACATATTTGCATGCCTCGCCACACAATTGACTTGGTATCGTAGTTCATAACTGTCCATGCTCGACGAGGAGACTTTGTCGACTGGTGCAATGGTGTGCCCGAAGAAGAGTGCTTCGCGCCTCTGTCTGCTTTTGCGCGGCGCGTACAGGAGGTACAAGACGAGCTGCGTGCTGTGCACGGTATCGAGGCGAGTCACGTCATCATGACTAGCGATGAGAAGGATGAGGGTTGGTGGGATGCGGTGAAGGAGATGGGGTGGTTGACCATAGACCACGAGCGGACGGTGCAGGTGCACGGGAGGTGGTAAGTTGCGCCCAAGTATGTTATCATAAACGAGAAGCTGATACAGTGCCGGTAGGTATCCGGTGATCCTGGATGCCGTGATCCAGTCTCGCGGCATGGGCTTCGTCGGCACAGATCGCTCGACGTTCTCCGTAATGGCGAGACGCCGAGTCTCGGAGTGGAACGGTGGAGCAGTCAGGACTGTCAAATGGGGTCATCCCGATGCAGATGCACACTGAACTCCACATATCCAAAGTACGTCACGGCCTCTGGGAGGCTGATATATTTCTAGTTCGGGCGATGCAGTTCAAAGACTTGGTTTCTTGAAGATCCCCTTGGAGTCTCACTGGAAAATGTATCAGTATATCCTACAATAGCGCATACATTATCTATGGAAGAACTCGTATTATATGTAAGAGTAGGAAGTTTCCACTGCTGAGATGTGCGCTTGCTTGCTGGGTGAAAGCAATAGACTCCGATGGTACAAGCCAAAGTCAACTGGGAGCTACTAAGCAGCAAACTGTTCATGTTCGACCTGTCGCAACTGCCAGTGTTTTCCGGATGCGCACCACAATATGACCAGGATATTGGGCCAGATCCGGACCCATCGACAGCTGCTATCGTCTCGACAACCGTTCAGAGAAAGAACGATATGAATGAGGTATGGTATTACAATGCTTCCAAGATAAGATTTAAGGAAGGATAGTGCCAACGAGCACCTTCAGATAGTCATCGTGATATCTAATATTTTGTCTGAGTAGCAAAACAATGCACCCTGGCCGAGTGGTATTCGAGGCTACTCTGGTTTTGCCCATCCACATGGCACAGCCTGCATAGATTTATTTTTCCACGGGAAACCTGATGCAAAAATGGTGAAAATATCTTATGTCTGGATATGGAAATGGTTTGGAAATTGGGCGGAGACAATTAAATTATGTTACGATTGTTTTACTGAAACGTATCAGCAATAGTGAAACTTTTTCCCAAAGGAAGATATTTCAGTCCAAAAATATGTGATACCGATATGTTTCGGTGAAGCAATTGTAACATAATTTAATTGTCTCCGCCCAATTTCCAAACTATTTCCATATCCAGACTTAAGATATTTTCACCATTTTTTCATCAGGTTTCCCGTGGAAAAATAAATCTGTGCAGGCTGTGTGGACCACCAGTGAGGTGGCAGTGTTTCTGCATTGGGGGAATGTGGAAGCATCTGTGCATCCGTTCAATCCGGAGAAGGGGCAGAGGTTGTTGAGGAAAATTTGTGGGCATTGTGTGGCAGTCAGCAGTCATAATGGTGGTCGGCCACCATACTGGATTTTTTTAAAGTTGGGTACGGGAATAAACGTTTTCTAGTTGACATGAGGTAAATGCAACTGTCAGAGCGTACATACGGCTGCCAGATCGGGCCTTGCCACCGGAATATGCCGAATGTACGGACGGTGTCGATCCTCGCAGCCACAGCGGCCTCACTGACATCCCTTCCAAACTCACCATCATCGTCAAGCTGCAGCAATCGCCGCCATGTCCGCCGTCACTGCGCCGCGCAAACCTGCAGCGCGTCTTCCACGTCCCGCTGCTCGATATTGGAAAGGCAAGGCCCCGAAGGGCGCGGGGGAGGAGCCCTCGGACGAGTCTGAATATGAGGAGGAGGAGGCGCAGGAGCCCGAGGAGGAGGGAGATGTGCTGATTCAGGACATTACAACCGAAGAGGTGGAGGAAGAGGAGAGATTAGAGGTGAGGAAGGAGAGGGCTGGGGCGAAGGCAAAGGGGATTAGTGTTGCGTTGAGGGATGTGAATATCTCGAAGGAGGGGCATGTGATTGTTGCTGGGAAGGAGGAGGTTGGAAGGACCGAGATTGAGGTTTTGGAAGGTATGTGCTCGTCATTGTCATTCCAGATGGTCTCGCTGACGTGCTGCCTGCAGAGGAAGTAGAGGAAGAGGAGGAAGAGGAAGAAGAGGTATGTCTCGTCATTATGTATGTCGTCTAACTAATAGTCCTCATTATGCAGTCTAGCGAGGAAGAATCAGAAGAAGAGTCCGAAGAAGAGCAGCGGAAGTTCCAATTACGACCCGTATTTGTGCCAAAGTGCGTACCTGCAGTATCGTTCACGCTGCTCACACGAATCTTTCGATCTGACATGCTCATCACATCTCATAGACGCGCACGGATTACAATAGTAGAAAGAGAGGCTATGGCAGAGGATACCGAGGAGGCACTTCGAAAGAAGGAACTCGAGGCTGAAGAGCGCAAGCAGCAAAGTCACAACATGGTAGCTGAGAGCATCCGGCGGGAGCTCCTCGAAAGTACTTTTTTTTAATCCCCTCCTTTTCCGCTTACTCATGTCTATCCATGACAGAGGAGAAGGAAGAACAAGTTCCTGATGTCGATGACACGGACGGCTTGGACCCGGAGGGAGAGTTTGAGGCGTGGCGTTTGCGCGAACTTGCCCGCATCAAGCGCGACAAGGAGGCGGCACTCGCTCTCGAGCTGGAGAGAGAGGAGATCGAGAGACGGAGAGCTCTGCCAGAGGAGCAGCGTTTGAGAGAGGACCTGGAGCGTGCGGAGAAGACCAGGAAGGAGAAGCCGAAGGGGCAGCAGAAGTTCTTGCAAAAGTATTGGCACAAGGGCGCATTCCACCAGGTGCGTGCTAGTCATTGCTTATACTCCATTTTACTTCCCTACCATTCTACTCAACCTGGGCCCACTTCCTGCCCGGATTGCATGCTGACTTTTGACCTACCTGCAGGACGAGGAGATCTCGATGCGGCACGATTTCACTGAGGCGACCGAGTCGACGGTGGACGTTTCGCTGCTGCCCAAGGTCATGCAAGTGAAGAACTTCGGCAAGCGTTCACGTACGAAGTACACGCACTTGCTCGATCAAGACACCACAGTCGTCTCGGGCGGATTTGGCGGAACGGCGCCTGTCAAAGCGGGCGGGATGGGTACCACGGGAGGCGGCTGCTTTATCTGCGGGGGTCCACACTTGAAGAAAGGTGAGTCATTATCGGTTGAAGGGGGTCGAGGGAGAGCATTAATGAGTGCGTCGATTGCAGATTGTCCACAGGCCAAGGACCTTCCACCCAACAAGATAGGCACCGGAGCCAATGCGGGCGCAGGAGGGCCGAGAGGGTGGGGTGCGCGGGGAGACAAGGACGAATCACGCGGTTCATGGCGCGATCGCGACGACGGAAGGAGAGCAAATGGGGACGAACACAATGGGCGGAGAGCGGATGACAGGGACCGCTACCGGGATAGAGAGCGAGGCAAGTGGGACGAGCGGGAGCGAAGGGGTGGTTATGACCGCGATCGGGACAGGTATGCGAGTGAGCGCAGGCAGAGATCGTACTCTCGTTCAAGATCGCGCTCGCCACCTAGGAGGGAACGATGGCGGGATGAGGACAGACGTGAAAGGCGCCGTTTGAGGGAACGTTCGGTCGATGCGGAGAATGATCATGCTGATAAGCGGAGGCGCGTGGACTGAGCGGTGTGGGCGGTGGTGTCTACACGGTGTGTTGTGTAAAGTATTGGATTTCAGGTATCCGTCTATATCCTACAGAGATCGCTATCGAACAATGTGGTACATATGAAGCACAGCCGTCAGAAAAGCAAGAGTCGACGTCAATAATGGAATGAGTGTCCGTTCGTTTGGTCCAGGCGTTTGAGCTCATCATTCATCCCATCCTCAGCATCAGCAGATAGCGCACTCGGATCTGGGAAGTGTCATAAACGATGTACTGATATGACCGAGCAGCATCAGTCTACCGTCACTCGCAAGGGAGGCAAACGGCTCACCTCGTTGTAAAACAGACCCGCTTGCGGGTCGGAAGTATCCTTCCCCTTTCCTTTTGGCATGTGACAGCCCTTCAGCGCATCGTTCTCCAACGCCTCACCAGCATCCTGCCATTCTCCAGGTTGTGTCCGGCCCAAGCCCTTCGTGCACCTTCACAAACGCTATCGTGAGCCAGCCGAAGCGAAAACAAAAATGGTATGCCCACTTCTTCCCGGCGTTGATGCAATCTACATTAGCGTCGTAGTTGGCGTTGTACTGTTCGTAGAATGGCTTCGCGGCGACCTCGCAGAGGAGTAGTAGGCCGGTGTTGTCGCTCAGGCTGCGTGATGAATGTTGAGCCCGTTAGGTGCGCACACGTTTGAAGGGACGACTTACTAGGAATGGCAGTAACCCGCCGACTAATAGGGTAACAGACAACGGTGAGATAGAGCTTTTACAAAGAACATGGGGCCAAGATACCTTGGACATCATCTGGAGCGATATGTATATTAGCAGTTGACCCCATTGTGCAGAAAAAAAGACTCACATCCGCGAAGTATACTCCTTTACCGAACATGTACCCTGCAAGAATCTCAGCAAACACTTCACATACACTGCGACTGTGGCGCATACCAGTGACAGGAGCTGTGTGGATAGAAGGCAGATTAGCTATGCTCATCTGGAAAAAAAAGCATAACACCGACCTTCAGGAGGCGCGATACGCAGGCCCTGGCTCAAGATACCCGCAAAGTTCGTCGTGCGCGAGCCGTGCCAAAGCAGGAGCCGATGCCCATCTGGCAGGTCATCATGTCCGGCCCGTATCCATGCATCCGTCTCTTCCTGCCTGCGCACACACATCTTCACTTCCTCTTCAGAAACAAGATTTTACCCACACTTACCTCTCGACGCGGAACGCATGGTGAATATCCACCTTGTAGTGGCGGTGCGACTCGCCGTGCGTGTCTCGCGCGTACGCCTCGAGCGCAGTGAACTCCCCGCTGTCGCGCGCGATGGGGTCCATGCGCGAGAGGCGCAGTGAGAGGAAGCTCGCGTCGATCGGGTTCACGGGCTCGCCCTGTGCGTTGCGCGGGATCGAGGAGGTGATGAGCTTTGAGGCGATTTCCTGGGTGAAGAGGTGCGTGGTGAGCTGGCAGGCGCGCTGACGAGGGGGAGGGCAGATCATACCATCTCTCCGAGGGAGTCGACGAGGTCGAGTTCCTGGATTGAGGTCAGTGGGCTCGGTCCTTAAACTGGGTGGCACAGGCACGTACTCTCTTGAGCATGAGCATGTTGTCGATGATTGTCGGCCTGTTCCTTCCAAAGACATGGGGGATGATGCTGGGCCAGGGTATCAGCCGTAAGAACCACCAAACGACATTACAGACGTACGAATAGTATCGGCCGGTCAAGTGTTCGACGGCAGGGCGGAAACCACCGTATTCTTGTGCAGCAGCCCCGTTGGGCTGGGAAATGACCTCGGACAGTCTCTGTACGAGTGTCAGATGTCAGCGTTCACGGAGGTTAGAAAACAGGCATACATTCATACCTTCAAAGCGGCGAATCCATTCAGGATGGTCGACTTGGCGAGCTTGCCTTGAGGGAACGTCAGATATTTCACGAACGGGCCGAGATGCGCGCCTACCGAGCGGAAGCTTGTTAGCATCATAATTCATCGACGACAGGTGTGCTTCGATCAACCTAGCGATCGCACGTTCAATTTTATGAGCAGCTAGGAATGGAATGAAAAGAATTCACTTTGCGGAGAAGATCAGCCTGCAAAGGGCCTGCGTCTCCACAGGTAGCGTCGAATCGGGGACCTTCTCTTCGTCTTTCTCCTTGGATGGGCCGGCTTCATCCGACTTGGGATCTTCCTCCTCGTCCCCGAATACGCGCTCGATCCACTGGTATTTGCCTTCGCAAATGTCACACAGCGTAAGCGAACAACTGGCGGCGTGACGTAACTCGGTGAATGCACCTACCCTTACTCGCGACCGTACCGTGCCTGTTCTCCCAGGCGACGCCGGCTTTTGCGCGGAACTGAGACTTGAACGCGATGACTGCTCCGGCGGCGTTGAATGGACCCTGACGTAGATGTGTCAGCGCGTGATGATACCGAAGGGCATGGAACCTGTCCAACCTTCTGCTGCTTCTGGCCATACTCTCCGACGCGACCCCAGCGAGTATATAAAATGCACTGGTCCGTGCTGCCGACAGGATGCAACACTTGAATCACATAGAACCTATGCGGGCGAGACGCAGTATAAAAACATGTAGATATTGCGACGAGTCGGACTTACTTGTTGGCGTTCTTCGAGACGTCTGTCTGATTGAGCGTTGCGTCCCATACGCCCTCGCTCGTCACAAGTACCTGGTGTGAGTCTGCGTACCAAACGTGAATTATGCTGAGAGAATGCATACATGCGTGACCTTGGATACTTACTCACGTAGCCGGACTGTGGGTCCACAGGTGCAGCACCCCTCTTCAGTACGGTGACCTGAGACGTCGAGTCAGCATCGGTTGAGAATGCTTATAGCTGATCGGTGAACAATAATTCTGTCTGATAAGATATATACTGGGAAGCATATATGCGTTGGTAGGGTAAGGTGCGGAGTGCATCCAGCTCTCATTCCTCATAGAATGGGCAGGGCTACAACGCTTACTTCCCCGAGCGCGTAATTTCGGACAGGAACCTAGAAGTGGGTTAAGAGCGAGGAGGAAGCTTACCATCTTTGCAGGTTTATCGTCTGCCTTCTCCGGTGCTGCAGTGCTGGCGTTCGCGTCACCGGTAGCCTTGTCGTCGCCGGCCTCGCTCTCACTGGCTTTGGCTTTCTTACTCTTGGGCTTAGCTTCTTTCTCATTATCAGACGCATCGTGAGTGCGTTTCGCCTTGCCCTTTGCCTTGGACTTGGGCGCCGTAGAGGCTTTGGGTTCGGGCGCTGCCATGGCCTCGGAAGCCTGAGCTTTAATCCTGGTGCTCGACCTCGTACCGCGCGGTGCAGGCGGGTTCGACGCGTCAGACGCGTCAGCGACAGCGGCTTTCTTACGAGGAGGCATGTCAGGGGATATGATGGGGGAAGAAGATGGGGAACGGACGCGATTGACCGGGTTTATATGTTGTGCGACGCGGGCGCAGCGGGATTCTAATTTGACGACGCGGCGGCCCGTCGAGCGTCGGGATCTGCCCAGATATGGTATTTGGGCGCTGCCGTGCGTCCGCCGCGTTGCCTGAAATGCTCACACCGAGTCATGCTGTCCTGATTTGGATTCGGCATCTTCCCACCGTTCTCCTTTCGGCGTCGTATCGCCGCAACCTCCGAGCGACGGTCATGCGCACGTACACACGTATGCTGCTGGATTGAGTCCTGGGATGACTCATGCAGCATGTCCGCTTCCGCGGGAGCGCTTCGACTTCGCATAGCAAGCGATGTCTGCGAACCGCACGAACGAGTCGTTCGAGTCGCGCTGTACCTTAGGCGACGCTTATTCCAATATCGCCTTTGCAATCCTTTCTTCTGGAGGTGCGACGTAGAAGAGAGTGCTCAGTGGAGATATGGGACAGCCGATAGTAAGTCTAGCCAACGCTTGTACGTGGAACATGAGAACATTCATCTGCCAGCAGAAATAGCCACTCTCTACAACGCAGCTGCAGGCGAACCTAACTAGTTGCACATCTCAGTCTAGAGATGCAGCAGGCCTATACTGCATGCTGCCCACAAGCCAAGTGGGGCCTAACGTCATGGACCCATACTCTCTCGTTCAGTGCCACCGACTGCCACCGAGTCAGTCGTGCAGATACGGGCGATATCATTCAAAACGGCATGTACGACAGCTAAGCCGAACTAAGGCAAGTATCGCAGTTTAAACTTCTGCTCGCCGTGCTGTGCAGTAGATTGCACCGCCACACAAGATCTACACCGCGAGTCCGGGACCCACCGCCAACGAGGAGTGCATGTGATTATGACGAGAGGCTCCAGTCCGAGAACGTCGGCAGTCGGGGCACAGCAAAATTAGTCACCGTGGCCTTCGCGCACGTAACAGGCTCGGATTGGAAGAGTTCATCGACACTCTCGAGAAGTCTCGGCCGCTCCGTGCTGGTCGATTGTCGGTGAGCGATCCCCGTCGGTGGATCCTGCGCTGGATTTATCACGCTTCGGCAGTGATATGACCCTCTCGAGCAGCCCATGGGTGTTATGCCGCTTTGCTAAGCGCAGTGGCCATTGTATGGTCAGCTGGCGTGCTAAGGACGGCTGTCATTTCACTCCTTTAAGAGAGCCTTGACAGCGGTCCAGGCTTTCCAACGGATGAAAGGCGGAAAGTCTTGACCAGCGGCGTGAACTCACCGAATGGTTGACGTCAGCCCATTTCACCATCGGAGCTGTGGCAATTGTGATGACCGTTGTGATGCGGTCACCCTGCGCCACTTCAGGCGACCAGCCTTTCGATGCCCGGCCACAGGGCGGAAGAGCCCTTGGTGCATATATAACCCTTCCGCCGGAGCTGCACGTCCCGCCATCCCCTTTTCACGAACCATTTACGCCCGCCTTCTACGCGCGACGACGAACATGAAGTACTCCCTCCTTCCATTGGCCCTATTGGCCACCGTGCCCGCCGTCTTAGGGCAAAACGCGACCTTCCTTACTGGCTTTCGGAACGCTCTTGACGCTGCTAATCTTACGTCATTCGCCTCTGCAACCGAGGAGCTCAACACAACTGTTGCTGGGAGGGACATCTTGGCTGCCATTTCGAGCGGCCAACCCTTCCTTTTATTCGCGCCCAACAACACTGCACGTAAGTCGATTGTCACAGTCTGCGCTTCCTGCTCGTCTTGAATATCCGCTATAGTGGCAAATGGCCCCTCGAATTCCACCACGAACATAACTGATCTGCTCTCGTACCATATCGTGCCCGGAAACTTCAGCGGCGTGAAGACGACCTATCCCAACATCACGCTCGGCCGCACCCTCCTCAACGACTCGAGCCTTGTTCACCTCGAGGGCAATAAGAGTCAGGTTGTTGCATGGGCCACGTTTTTGGATAACAAGACCCACGTCCTGAACCAGAAGTACGTTCATCGTTGCTGATTTCCAAAGATATCATATGCTCATCGCTTGCAGTAACAATACGGAAGTCACCAACGTCACGACCTATGGCAATATTACCGTCTACACCGTCACTTCCGTGCTCGAGTACCCCGGCACTTTTGAAGACCTTGTACTATACGATAACATATCGCTGACGGGGTTCAATTCCACTCTTGGCAACATCAGCATACCGTACTACAATTCGACCACGGGCTCGGAGAACGACACAGTGGTATTTGACATCATCAGCGACCTACGGGGTTTCACCCTCTTTGCACCGAGTACCTGTGCGATCGAGGAGCTGTTGGGCCAGTTGTTGGTCTTGGAGGACAACACCACGCTGCTCGAAATTATTTTAGATAACCACGTGCGTACACCTTCCGTCCATCCTCCCCGCGTGTGTATTGACAATCGACATCCTCCATAATAGTTCATCAATGGGACCTCGGTTTACTCTCCGCAGCTTGTCGGCGCGAACTACACGTCCGCCGGCGGCGAGAACTTAACGTTCAGTATCAACGCGACGGGGCAGTATGTCACCTCCGCCAACACGACCGCGCACATCATCCAGCCGGATCTGCTTCTCTGGAACGGTGTCGTGCATATCATTGATCAGGTGCTCCTGAACACGAAGGAGAATGCGACCATCGCCAGCTCTGCGTGAGTATTGTGCTCTATCTGTAGCGCTGCGACTGCGGGCTGACCCTGATACCCTGCATCACAGTGCGGCGTCTGCGACATCCGCCGCTGCGCAGAACGCAACCGCATCCGTGACGGGCCCGATTGGTTTCTCGCAGACTGCGTCACTCTCTGCCAAGAGCTCCGCCTCCGGTTCTAAATCCAGCTCCGCCTCCAGCTCTGCATCCAGCTCCGCTTCCAGCTCTGCCTCTAGCTCCGCGTCCAGCTCCAGCTCCGCCTCTAGCTCCCCCTCCAGCTCCACCTCGAGCTCCCCCTCCACTTCGGCCTCCACCTCCACCTCCAGCTCTACCTCCACCTCCGTCTCCAGCTCTGCCTAATAGCTCTGTCGTCCCGGCACCTCGCGGCTGATGGGCTTCGGCGTCACCGCGACGGGTGTGCTCTTGGGCGGCCTGTTGAAGCTCGCGTGAGGATAAAAGTGAAAATCACGACTCTTTATGACCGATAGATCTGACTTATGATTGAGCGACGTTCTAATATTCTACTGTAACAAAAGTAATCGATGCAGCTGGGTCGTCACTTTTGACGTCTCGGTTGCGAGTTTGATGTCCCTGTAATCTACATCATAAAAGTGCTCGCACATGTATTGCACGCAATTGTTCGAATCTTCGAGATGGGCGCTGGAAAGAATGTCGGATGCGGAAGCCGCTGTTAGTCAGAAATTTTGGGGTACATATGCCGCCTCCCCGAGGAAGGTAAAACTGACAATGAACAAAGTATCGCAAGAGGCCAGTAGGTGTGAGAGTGCCCGGAGATGTCGAATCTCGACCGTGCGGCCGGGTAGTGGCCGCGCACCTGGGGATCAGACTCTGCGTCAGCCACGTGGGAGGGACCGCGACGCCACAAGCGCGTCGAGGGTTGGTATGTCTGCAGACACTCGCTAGTCACTGAACAGTGACCGGGACCGATGACGAGGGCATCGACATCGCAATCGCTTGGTATTCGGGTCAAATCTCTCAGCTCGACATAACCAAAATAGTGTAGCGGTCGTCCTACGTCGCGCCCATCACCAATAGGCATCGACACTATGCAATGAACGACACTGTCTTCTTCACGGTATTTATGGAGGCTATTATAACCCTCAGCATGTCAAAAACCGCTGACTGGAGGTATAGGTGGTATACTAATGCACGTCATGCATCTGACTCGCGCATTGATACTTTTTTGAGCCGTCTATACCTCCAAATCCTGTTTCTGGGCTTCCCAGATCTGATTGTGGGTGGTCAATTACTTCATCATTTTGCGCAGGTCTCTTCACTGTGACCGTTGCGGGCACAGCGCACGACGTTTTCAAGTGTTCACCAATGATCTTACAGAGCTGCATTGTGCTGTACAATTATTCGGTAATATACGCTGTTTTACGATATCCAATATATGCTCAATTTGACGAGGACATGCGACCAGATGCCAAATGGCCACAGGTCGGACTCCCACTTAAACTAGCTTGGAATAAGCATCAGGTGAAATCGGAATCTATCTCCAGGCTCCTCCCAATCCGCCTCTGGGAGGTCATGGGGGAAGGAGAGGATTCAATATTTCAATACTCAATCTATCATCTCAGCCACAATTCAGCCACAATTCACTAAACTTCATACTCAGCACTCTTATGTATTCGGTCCCCACGAGTTGCCATCATGATCCAGCGCGCGATGATCGGGCCTAAGGAAGTGCCCTAGCTAGGAAGGATGGAACCACCTAAACTCCCAGGGGCGGATGGGAGGAGCTGGCATATCTCCGCATCTTTGGGCCCGGCAGGGATTTGAGCAGAACTTGGTCTCTTAGCCACATCTCTCCCGGGCGAAACTCAATCCCCAACACGCACTGCATACATGGAGGCTGAACCGGTCTCGGTTACGAATGGTGCGGTACACTTGGCATTGTCCTGACATCCATGCGTGCGGATCAAGCATGTATCATGCAACGATTCCCATCGACTGGTGATTGGCCCAACCTATTTCAAGCTCGAACTGGGCTGTCGGGGTGAAAGCGGGGAAGCGTACCTTCGATCAGCCTAGACGACGCGCTGGCACTCGCCTCATGGGAAGCGGTCATATCTGTCACATCGAAATCGAAATGCCGCGCTGTCGCCGGAGATGTTCACAAGTCATGCGATTGGGTTTGGGATGAGCCGTTCTGTGCGGCTACTATTTAATATGGTGCGACTTATGCGTAGAAATCTGCCCTACGGTCTCCGTAGCACCTCCATCCACAGCAACTGTGTACTTGCCAACCGTCGAACGGAATGGGCTTCGACATTTCGCCTCAAACAATCTACGGGCTAATCTGCGCGATACCCATCGCGATGGTATTGCATTGGATGTTCAATCCTGTATGTACTGGAGATTCATCGCTGAGTCTCGACGAGAGTTGCTGACGTCCACTCTGTACGCCTAGATGCACACCATTCCCACAGTCGGCCCAAGTTTTCCCCTCTTGTCATACATCGGAGCATACAGGTTTTTGCGGGATGCCCAAGGGATGATGGAGGAGGGATACAGCAAGGTATGTCAGCTATAAAAGATGCCCACGTCCACATAATGATGAGGCTTTGCAGTATAAAGTGTTCAAAGTCGCTCAGTGGGATCAATGGCTCGTGATAGTCAGTGGCGCCACGATGAACAGAGAATTGAGCCGGCTTCCTGACAACGTCATGTCTGCACATGAAGCCGGGGTCGATGTAAGCCATCTTCATCACGTCTCCCTCTGTAAATGACGTTTATCTGACGTCTCTTTGAAGCTGATACAAGCCCGCTACACCATTGGGAAGGAGATTTTCGAACGTGCCATAGAAATTATGGCAATTCGTGGGCCGCTTACACATAAAGTGGGCGCGATGATACCGGAGATGATGGATGAGGCGATTGCATCGTTCGGGGAGTTGATCCCTGTGAAGGACAATGGTGAGTCCAGATCATCTCAACTCTTTGTAACCTAAGTGATCATCCCAACTCGCTTTCAGAATGGCTCGAGGTCACCGCTTCGCCTACAATAACTCGGATCATAGCACGTGCCAGCAACCGTCTTTTCGTCGGTCTTCCTGTCTGTAGGTTGCACGTGAATTGCTCTTTTACATCGATGTTGAAAGACAGTTCTTGATCAGGCCGAGAACCAGAATACCTCGACACTCTGGCCGGTTTCTCCGTTGGGGTTGTGACAGGGAAATTCGTCATGGACCTATTCCCAAAGTTCCTGAAGCCGTTAGTGCTACCTGCAGTCGCTCATCAGTATTTCTTCGTGTTACTGATGTCCTATGTCACGACCAGATATGTTGGATCCGTGCTGCCATGGACACCGAGGGCCAAGCGTCGCATCGCAAAGTACCTTACGGGCATCATTGAGGAACGTCAGGAGGGTCTGAGGCAGTACGGACCCGATTGGGCTGACAAACCCGTAAGTCTGAGCTTCTGCGATCATGTGCTCTGCTCAAACGTAACCTCAATGGGCTCTCAGAACGACACTTTGATGTTCCTAATCGAGGAAGCAAACAAAATAGGCCACTCTGTCGATCTAGTGATCCAAGGGGTATTATCCATGAACTTTGCTGCACTACACACCACTAGCATGGTGAGGATATATCTATTGAGTATATCAGAGTCGCTCACAGCTCGCTATAGAGCGTTACTCATGCGCTGTACTATCTGGCCTCTAATCCAGAAATCATGCAGCCCCTGCGTGAAGAGATTGAGCCTATTGTGAAAGCTGAAGGCTGGAACAGACAAGCGCTGCACAAGATGTGGAAACTAGACAGCTTCATCAAAGAGTCGCAAAGGATGGATAACCCAGTTGCATGTGAGGTGTTTCCTCTCTGATTCTATGTCAAGCGATCTCTGATGCCAGTTGATCATCCGCAGTGTCTATCTTCCGCAAGACAGTGCAGGACGTCACCTTCTCCGATGGGACACACGTTCCTAAGGGCGTTCTTGTCTTTGCCACAGCATCAGCTACACATCGCGATAAAGAGGTATACGAAAACGCGGGAGCCTTCCGGCCTTTCCGCTTTGCAGATATGCGTGCTAGCGGCGAGGGAGAGAACGTCAAGCACCAGCTCGTCGCCATTTCGCCCGAGTACATCGCCTTCGGGCATGGAAAACATGCCTGGTATGTATATACCGCTCCCATGTGACGGTAGTGTCGACTCGCTCATTTTTGTCCACATTAGTCCCGGACGCTTTTTCGCTTCCGCAGTCATGAAGATCACCCTGGCGTGGATAATGCTCAATTACGATGTCAAGATGGCAGGCGATGCTGGCCGTCCTCGGAATTTCGCCATCGGTTCTGCTAATATGCCTGCCCGCAATGCCAAGGTCTTGTTTAGAAAACGCCAGTACGACCAGGTGTGACGCTGCAGCAGAGACACATAACGTGCGCTAGACATGTTTGGATTATTAAACATACTACTATTCGGTGGACTGGCTCCGAAAGACGACATACAACATACCTGATGAATCGAATTGGTTGCTAATCGCAGACGGCGTCGTTTTTTGAGCTCCGGCTGGTATTCGTACAGTAGCTCTGTCACATGTGAGTGCGTATGAGGGATGTGAGACAGTCCGGTGCGTCCGCGAGCAGTGGCCCAGGCGGACATCGCGTGTGCACACGCCATGAGCGCGTCCGACCGAATGCATTCACCCACCAGCGTGTCCGTTACGCAGAGCTCGAACGATCATTTTCTCAAACGGTGATGAGGATTATGGTGGATGACTACCGTTGTGAGTTCAGTTTTCTGGTTACATGCAATGTTGGCAAAAGTCCCCTCCCCTTGACTTCTTACAATCTCGGCTGTGCGTGGATGAGGATGTGGACGCAGTCAGTCAGGAGAGAATTGTGGATCATTGCCTGATCATAATGGCCTCGTGGCCGCCTGTGGCATCGTAAGACGTCCGAAGGAGGTATACAGCACATCATTTTCTCCTCTCCGCTTGCATCGATAGCATCATGTGCGGCCTGATATCTGATCATCGACGATAAACTTCTTTCTGGTGAACCATCGGGCGTAATGATGTCGGAACTCTGCCATCGCTCTCTCGACATGATACCTGAGGAACTTGAGAAGGAAAGTCGTCCTGCTGTCGTACAATCCGGCATGTATGCAGCGGAAATGCTATCCAGGCGCTATGCAATGCGCGCAGTTAATGTTGTCATCGTTGGCAAGCACCTTTTCTCCATTGTTGCATGAGATATGATATACGAAGGCTGACTCCGACGCTTCAGACGAATTAGCATGGGTATGGTGGTATGATCAACAAGGTACAATCCAGTCGAGCGGTATCGACTTCATCAAGGACCTTCCCTGTTTCCTTGTTCTCATTGCCACATTCCGTCATTTGGGTCTGCGTGAATGGGGTGTTGACGCCACACTGGGAAGGGATGGACGTCAGTATCATTTGAGGAGGGCTACAAGAGAACATACAAGGAACGACAAAACGGTTCACGAGATCCACCCTCGTCGCAAACCCCATGGCTTCGATGTCGTATTCGGAGATCGCGAAGATCAGACGAATGTCAAGACAGTGGCCACTGTTACACGTCCTGACAAAATTGTTAAATCGCAATATCCCCCTTTCGGTCCGGAAACAAGGGACTTTGAGGCCACGCAGAAGAAGGCGACCCAAGCAGATGCAGTCATGAAGATATACTGGCCGGAGGTCACTCTCACGAGCGAGGCCGTCGTTTTGGAGCACGCAGTAGAACTGGGTCGAGGAGACCCGCTCATAGAGGGACATCTGCCCACAGTACTTGCCTCGTACGACTTGGGTTACTCCACCGGAACGATTGGCGAGGACATTCAGAAAGAAAGGCGAACTGATGGGGATGCTATCGGTGACTCACGTTGCATGCGCCTACTGCTGATGCGGAAACTGTTACCCATCGAGGGATTGCCCGCTGAGGAGTTTCTCCGTGTATGGGTGGAATGCTATCGATGTGAGTATCATGCTACTCCAGTGGTTTGTCGTCTAATTCGCTCTCGAACAGGTCATTTCGCACTCTGGATGAAGGGCTTTGAACACACGGACATCAGTATTGACAACCTGCTCTATGACCCCATCAGTCGAAAAGGTGTTCTGAATGTTTTCGATTTGGCTAGGATCCGCCTGGACAGTAAGAACCAGGCGACAGGGCAGGAACAGACTGGCGCCATCCCCTTCATGGCAATGGATCTCCTCTCAAGAGAATGTTTCCGCGGAGAGATCGTGCGTTTGTACCGCCACGATTTCGAATCATTCCTTTGGATCCTGCCCCATAAGCTGCTGCGTGGCGTCGATGAACAAGGTGCAAATTTGGCAAAATGGGATACTGGCGATTACAATCGTTGTCTAGACTCCAAGAACACCTTTCTCAACACGAATTTGGGAAGATGGAGGGCTAAGGATGAGAATGAACGGGTTTGGGAAGGCATTGGGTACTGGTTGATGGACTGGTTGAGGGATAAACTTTACGAGATGACAAAGTTGCATGGTGTCAGGAATCTGGCACCAGAAGAGCTGTCACAGAGTGACCTCGACAAGATAAATCGATGGGATGATCAGTCCAACCAGTCGGCCATTCAGGTTCTCAAAGAAGCTGAGAGTGTCATTGCGACGCGCTTGGCTAAGGCGGGTTCCTTCATTCCCTTCCAACCACTCTCTGACGAAGAGCTCCAACGGTATCTCACCTCTCGATCAACTCCTCCTTCATCCTCCTGAGTTCCACCTTCTCCCCTCACCTTCAATTATGGCACCATATTTACCTTGCGACAGCAAGGTCTCTCCCAGGCCACAATGTAACACGTTTTTTGTCACGTTCTTTGACATTGTTTGTCATCATTTGCATTAATTTGTTTTTGTCATCGATGGCGATTGTCCAGCCACTTTCGCATCACATCTGCCTAATCGTACATCCGATGTCTTACTGCTCTCCTTCGCACTCCTATTTTCCATACTTCCTGTTGCACATCTCCATCGTGTGGTCGAATGTACATTGTACACACGCTCACCTAATAGTACAGACTAATTACTCGATGTCGAAGATCATATTAAAATTCGACATAAAATATTCGAAGTTTGTTCCTCATCACACATACACGTTATTGTGACATCACTAAACGACAAACACTCTTCATAGCATGTCGATCGAAAGGACAAATGACAGTTCGATTAAGGTGACTCCTTTCATATTCGCATCATGATTTCACATTAATCAAACACTTATAGATTTCAATATCAATAACTGGCCATGCGCTACTGCTGACGCCCTCACAAGCAGAGATAAACTATCTCGACTGGGTATATGGTGACCCTGACTGCTTCCCGCCTATGACAGACATGATGGTCTTATCAAGCCTGACAAGTACGAGGAATTGTTGAAAGGCGCCCTTGTCAAAGCCGTCATCACCATCTCCAGATGGAAAATTAACAATTTGATGACCTTTAGCGCAGACATCGTCGAATTGAACATCATAGACCAACCTGTTAGCCTTATTGCCTCTCCCCTCAAACGGCACACCAAAGACGGTCCTGCCCATAGCCCGAATCAGAAACATGCTTCTGCCAAATCGTGAGTGATGTCCTTTCATTCTTTCTGCCACACTAACACATCATGACCCTCTCAGACTACATAACAACTCTCTCATACACCATTGTCGAATGTAATATTTACATGTAATTGTACCAGATCTTTTTTTCTCTGACTAATGTATGGTTTCGTCGTGATGTTTATTTCCATCTCCCCCTACCATCTGCAATTTTAATTCCACTACAAAATTCTTAACGCGCTACGGCGCGAAGGTGCAACAGATGACTGCGAAGGATCAATGTGGCTGGTACGCCTGCATCCACTTGACATGGAAAGACCGGAGGGCTAAAGTGACACATACTATTGCATCAGCAGATTGCACCAGGGTAAAGCCTCTTATTCATACCTAAAGTGACATGTACTATCGCGTCACTGTGCTAAGCATAAGTACATCTGTATGGTGCAGAACTATATGTAAAACCACATATGCAGATTGCACCAGGGTAAAGCCTCTGGGGCATCCGACGTACTCGCTGCAAATATATATGCTAACTGTCAAGTGTCTGAAGGGAAGTGAGCATTGGGGAGCTCAAGATCGAGTGGGGTGAGTAAATACTAAACTAGGAAACAATATAACCTTATAGGTACCAAGGCGAGCTGCAGATCACAAATTGCAACACTTCCCCTCAAACCTTCGCTAGTCCCATGGACACAGCGAAGTGTTTGGTCTTCAACGACGGGAGTGCCTTCGTAAGGATGTCGGCGGTCATGTCTTCCGTAGAACAGTAAGTAAGTGAAATCTTTCCTTCAGCAATGGAATAACGAATGAAATGAAATCGGATATCGATGTGCTTGGTACGTGCATGGAATCGGTCGTCCTTTGATAGCGCGATGGTGGACTGGTTGTTGGAGCGCAAAGGGATGGGACGTTCAGGTTCGCTGAACAGTTCTATGATGAAAGAGCGAAGCCACAAGGCTTTTTTGCTAGCATGAGTCAAAGCCACATACTCAGCCTCTGTAGTCGAAAGCGTGACAAGGTCTTGCTCAAAGCGCGCTTTGAGGACTAGGAGACGGCACTGCCGTTCAGCATAAAAATGTATCCCGAGATCGCGTGGCATCCTTCCATGCTCATACCATCTGCATTGAAATAGCCTATGACCTCATTGTCCTCGGATCCACCAAGAACCAGCCACTGGTCCGCTGTTCCCTTGAGGTATTGATAAACGCGCTTGAGTGCGTTTCAGTGTGTGATGCCTGGGTTCTGGCTGAACTGCGCAAGCTGACTGACTGCGAAGGTAATATCAGGACGTGTAGACACGGAGACATACTGTAGTGCTCTGAGAGCTTCCAGATACGGCTTGTCATGCATGGCAGCATAGTCTTCCGTGGTGACCAGGCATTGGTCGAAGGAAAGATGGACGTGAGGATCCATGGGTTGGGAGGGCAGCTTCGCATCAGCGAAACCATAGCATGTGACAATTGACTCAATATATGTGCGCTGCGATAGCGCGATGGTATATTTTTCCCAATTGCGCTTGATTTCAATCTCCAAGAGCCAATGGAGCTCACCATTGTCCGTAATCTCCAATTTTGACTTAATCATATTCTGCAACTGCAGAAGATTTGTCAGGACCGAGCTGACAATAGTCATGTCATCAACGTGCAGGAAAATGATGGAGATCTCACCATTCGGATGATGCTGATAGAAGACGGCATGATCGTGTTCAAGTCGCATGAGCTTGAAGCTTTCAAGAATGTCATGCAGCTTTGAGTACCAGCGACGACCAGATTGCCACAATCCATAAAGCGATATCTGCAGATGAAGCACTTGTCCAGGTACCAGGCCCTCAAGAGCGATGCCAGTCGGCAATCACATGTATATTTCTGCATCGTCATGTAGCCTTTCTGTCACAGATTTTCACGTTTTCACCTCTGCACGTGACCAAGACATCATTTGACATCAGCGCTAGGCTGTTCAGAAAGGAACGAACCGGTACGCGAAGTACTAACAGTCCTAGGCGCCCTGAAGGTCCAGGTCTAGTCACGTGACATATCACGTGATATCCACACATGTGACAAGTAGCGCTGGTATTAGGTAAGCCTAACTTATACAGTAATATCATCCCACCTAGAAGCCACGGTCGGACTCCGGAAGAATCCAATGAAGGGGATACACGACACCGGAGATATGTCCTTAAGGGGATATTAGTTCACATGCATGAGGTAGATAGATACCACACCACCGGAGATGTAGCCATTACAGGCAATACCATTCCCATGGTCTTACTAAGTAGTTCGGAGATTCGGCATACATGACACACGTAGTCTGACAGGTAGTGGTAACCAATCAGACAATGTCCATTAGCTAGCAGTTCTGGGGTATCAGGGTACCAAGGGTCCCTCCGCTCATGTATATAAGCCAGAGCTCTGAGACGCATAAGTCCCCCAGACTTATTCTCATCTCTGCTATGCCTATCCATATAGTGTCACCAGTGACCACTTGCAAGTCGCTGCTTTACCATTGATCATCTTTGTGTCCATCCTTACTTTGACAATAGTCAGTAAGTGTTTGATTATAAGGTCATAGGCTTAGTCAGCGCTCTGCGTCCTAAGTTTGTGATAGAAGAATAAGTCTGCTTATCTTACCTGCCTCGAGTGCCTGCCCAGCATACTCGCCGCAGTGTTGCGTCTTTGCACGTCCACCCGCATGTTAGCGGTGTCATATCTTCACCTGACGTTCCGTCAGTCGCCGACTCTACCAGCGTAAGCCGCACCAAGGCATTGCGCAGCATTGACGGTGTCATCCGTCATCCTCAAGCAAGAACTCCAGAAGAGTTCTACGAGCAGCGGCCCATAAGACCCCTGCCAAGGCCAGGACACATTTCTACGGGAGGTCGGCCCCCTCGCGGCACTAGTTCCGTTTCTATTATCCAGACTCCCTCGGTCAGGCGACCGAGACTACCTGCAGGACCATCTGATCCAGATCTCAATCAAGGGACATACGTCGAGACCGCTACCAGGTCTCATTTCATCTATCCTTTCACCATCTCCATCATCTCGACTCAGCGCGTCGAAGGCACCCTTCGACAAATTCGTATCCTACTCACTAAACGATACCGTCGTCAGCTTGACGACCACGACATCTTCGATCTCGAGCATCTCATACTCAAGCTCGAATCCATCCGCACCGACATCGCGGAATTCCAGCTTTTCTTCGTTCACCAACACGTGGTTCGCGACTTTTGCAACTACATCCAGGAAAGGAAGCGTCAGGGTGGAGAAGCTCGCTGGATAATCAGAGATATTATCCAGAAGTATCGTCTAGGAATACAGGTCACAGGACGACCTTTGCTGTAGATACGAATATTTACTTTGCATATGTCTTCATCGGGCGACTCGAACAATCTTGACAATTTCGAGCAGTTAAATCCAATCGGTCACACTTTCGATTATCTTTGGGATTCAATTCCACGTGTTCTTCGAGACAGAGCAGGTGAAGCATTTGCTACGTACGAGGACACGTTCGACATCGACTACCACGACGTATATCACATATACGCCCTCCAAATCTATCCAGAATTTGATTGGAGGAACGTCGCAGTTCATATCTGCTATATCCCTATCGGGTCTGAGGAACTCGAAGACCGTCTCACCGAAGCTTACAATAGCTTCGTCGATTGGCTCAAAGAAGTCGAGCGCATTTGCGAAATCCATCATAACCATCAGTGGCCCGCAGTCAGGGACAAGACCAGGTTTTTGTGGCAACCCTTCGTCAAGGTCATCCATCGAGACCTTTGTCTGCTGCGAAACCAACGCTCAGGATGAGTAATTGTCCGACAGGCCACGATCGCCAATAGGCATATCGCCGAGTTCGAAGAACATCTTCGTGAGATAGAAGAAGAATTGTAAAAATGACGACTCCCACCCCCAATGATCCAAGCTTCTCTCGTGCTCCATCTCCGGAGCTTCCCGCACATCTTAATATTGTTTTGCAACCCCCGAATCCTATCATTCGTCAAGCCCTTGCCGACACAGCGCCCCCAAATGTGAACATACCCGAAAATGTGAAGAATTGGGTAGTCGATCTCATCACAAACGTGGTGGAAGAGATGCGTCAACAAATGGTGGCACATTACGAAAATCTTATCCAGCGCCAAGCACATACAATGGAACGTAACACCACGGAGTTTCACAATCGGACGGTCTTCTTGGACCAACATCGTCAACAATCCGAGTCTCGAATCGCAGACTTGGAAAAAACCCAATCAGCCTTACTCGAGGAAAACAAGACCACTAACGAATCGTTTGTGGCATTTGACGATGAGGTCAAGGATCTCCAAACCAGGATGGAAGACCTGAAGAAATCACACGATCGACTTCGCGCATGGGCATCTACACAGGGAAGAAAGGCAGGGCAAGGCAGTACCAATGTCGACGACATGGACGACGACGATGAGCCGTCGTTTGGTCGCAAGGGTAAAGGCGTAAAAATTG